TTTGTCGAGTCACGGTGGCACATTGGCTCTGATTTATGAAAACGAGGGCTATGCTGGTGTGTATGTCTCGAAATGTGTTGCATGGACACTGCAGGAAAAATAAAAGTTTGAAGAGTGTAAAGGTGAATACACATTAGCATATCAGCAGATCTGAGTTTCTGGCAAAACTCAGAACTGAAAGAAGAAAAAAAAAGTGTTTTCATCACCCAGGAAACGTTGGGCGGACAAGAGTAACCTGTAAGCTGGATGAATAAATAAAACAGGGTAAAACTCACAGGATGGAAAGCCTTTAGGTCTCTCGGGAAGAGCTATGGCGCAAATGCAGCAAATAAAACATTTTGTTTGCTTGACCTTCCTGGCATGGAAATGGTATAAACTTCCAGTTTCCTAGACATTCCAGTCCAGATATGTTTATCAAAGAGCTATATAGTGAAAATCTGTAGTTAGAGGGAAGAAAAATGATTTATTTTTCTTCTAAAGTTACCCATTCTTACATGTGGTAGAGTGCCTCATTGGAGTATCATGCCCTCTTCTGGCAGGATGCACAATGTCTGCATCTGGTGACCTCTTTTCTTCTCCGAGGCATTAAGTCAGCTGCCTTCCAAGTAATGTTATCAACTTTTGATCACAGAAAAAAAAAATACATTAAACATGGTCGAGACCGTGTTGTATCCAAGCAGGATAGTAATGGATTTTTTTTTTTTTTTTTTTTTTTTTTTTACAATTCTGAGCTGGTTACCAAACAGCATTCCAAGCTTTGAACATCTCAGAGAATTGAGAGTATTTCTCAATAGAATAGAGCAATTGAATCGCATAGAAATATAATTTAGTTTACAATGTGTGTACGTTCGCTCAAAAGAGCAAAAAGTGCTCAAAATATGTCAACAACAAGATTAAGAATGATATGTGGCACAAGATTGTCAAACACTGTGCTGTTATCAGAAAGGAAAACAGTGTGTGCTGATCCAAAGGATGTTCAATTGAGTAGAAAAACTTTTTTGTTAAGTACATAATATGAAACTTGAGAAGACAAAAATGTTCATATAAATCTGTTCTGTCATGTAAACAGTATATTTGATGTTATTATCTGTCATAAGATACATACTTGGATCTGAATGGTCTTCACAGATTCACTTTCACAAGTGGAGCGTTACGGCTTTAGCGCTATTGGAAATTGCTTTGAGTTTTGCTTTGGGATTTCAAATGGTGTGGACGCAGAAACAAAATGAAAGGGCAGGGGAAACAGGGGTTAAGTGGAGTAAAAAGTTAAAAGTGAAAGAGGGTGAGAAGAATAGAGGAGAGAAGGAAGGATAAAGAGAGTCGGAGAAAACACACCAGACATCTGCCTCTGCAGAAAGCGAGAGAAACAAAAAGAAAAGCATGAAACCACACTGAGAAGCTCAGGGTACTAATTAACACAAGGTCATCTATAAAATGTTTCTGCATATGAATGATTAATTGCCAAACTTCTGACTCACAGAGCAGCCACCCTTCACCAGTTCCTCACTCAGCTCCTTCAAACTAGCCAGTAGTAATTAGCAAACACCTGCTGGAACTGAGCATCTGCTGAGCTCATCATAGGAGCTCAGTGCAATGCCGGTAAAATTGTTTTTAAAGGATTAGAGTAACCATGTTGTGATCACTTCCTGAAAGCAGAGTTTCAGAAAAAGTGGGAACTTCTTAAAGGTACCAAGGCCCAAATTCAAGGTTTCAAAATTACAAGGTTAAATTTATTTGAAGTCATATCCGATATATACGCAATTTTTATAGCCACTGAAGATAATTAATTGTGCTAGGAAATTGCATGACATGTCTTGAATATAAATAATACTGCCACTTTAAGAAAAATGGGGGGAAAGAAGGAGATGTCGAAAGACTTGCACCTGTAACTCCAGTGGTTCTTCAATAACTCACAGCACTAAAGTACAAATACACAGTTAATACCACTGCAGTGCCCAGATAAAATTGTTTCTGTCCTGTTTAAACCGAAGCAGACAAAGTGTACAAAATCTGTCTCACCTTAGAATTATTTTATTTTCCTGGAGGGAAAAAAAAATCATAACCCTTTAGGGTTTTTTTTCTGCTGTCTCTTTCAGTGCGGCAGCTGGGCGTTTGGAGGCCGTACTCAGCCGGTTCTCTTAGCACCAATCTCTCTCTGCTCATTCATCATGTGGAAATTGAATTGTTCTCAACGCCAAGACGCCGCAGTGTACAATCAGCCATTATTTTTTGGCCCAACAGCTGGACGGTGCTGTAGCAAATTGCTGGAGACCCCCCTGCAATAGGCCTTTGATTTATCACCTCCAGTGAACCTGCTGGCTGAGAGGCCAGTCAGCCTCAGGAGGAGCTAATATTTCAGCACTTTCAGAGGCCTGTCCTTTGGGTTTATAGAGGGCGAGATGGGTGACTGGTTCCTTTTGGGGTGTTTCCCCATAACATAGTTTTCATGGTATCTGTCAAAGATAGTGTATCTGTCACCTGGTAGTGTTTAAAACACTACCAGGTGTTGAAAGGGGTCGGTTTGTTTCCGACCCCTGGTAGGAAACAAATTACATGATGTTGTCTTTCTGTATTTAGGTTTACACAAGTTTTTATGTCAGACAAAAACAACTTTTAGTCATACATTTGGAAAAAAAACCCCCAAAAGATCCAGCTTTCAAATGGTGTCGGGTAAAAAAAGCTGTTCCAAATATTTTGGCCTAATGTGAAAATCTAATTGGGCTCCAATTCTAACAACTGGTTGTGAAAACTTTTTACATCTCCGTGGAAAAATGTTGGCCCATTTTTGAGCATGAATTGCATGTCTTTGGACATGTCACAGCATTTCAGTCTAATTTAAGCCCAGACTTTAACTAAGCCCCTCCAGAACCTTCACTTTGTCTGTTTTTAGCTATTCAGAGGTGGATGATTTGGTTTTCTTTAGATCATTGTACTCCTATTCAATAAGTGTGTTTACTATGGCTGAACAATGGACAATGGACTTGAAATGTCCTCAAGTCATCAAACAACCACCATCGTGTTTCATAATAAGTATGATTTTTTGTGTGTGTGTGTTTATTCAAAGACAAATACAAATGGACTGACTTTTTTTTAAATTTTTTTTTAAAGTTTGCTTAAGCTTTAGTCTTGTTATGACTTGTCTGATCATCAAACTTTGGTTGATGATCTAAAACTGTGTTTTTCAAGGTGCAGGCCGCCAGGGGGCGCTGTGTTGACTTCAGAAAGTTGGAGGAAAGATCAGAGAAAGAAATGTGCAAAAATAAATTTTATTTCATCTCCAAATGTTTTTTCTTAAAATCTTCACTGTAATTTTGTTGTTGTTTTTTCAATCACGTTCACAAAAACAGAAGTTAAAATTATTGATTCAAATGTTATGTCTAATTCTTATTTTCTGTCTGCTAGTCAAATTCGTAGAAACTGTTTTGCTCCTCAAGTAATAGAAAAATATGAATGACCAAAAAAAATAGAGCTAAGAACTGTGGGAATTTAATTAAATTTTATTTAGATGTATACTATATTACATATTTCCATATAATAAGAAGAGGGCTTTGTAATAATAAAAATTGCATTGTCTGGTACAAGTCAGATCACGTTATCTGATAAAAAAAAAAACACGTTTGCAGCAACCTAAAATCACAAGGCATAAGGTGGCATTCATGGTAAATGAATGTATTAGTTATTGAATATTGAATACAAAAAAGAAAATAAAAAAACATTCTGAAAATTGTTACATGTTTTGTAGCTTTGCATGTTGGTTTGCAAAGGGAGTTCCTAGTCAAAGGTTAATGCTGTTCGGCAAGAAAACGTTTGGGAAAAATGTGATCTGAAACATTTAAGGGTGACAAAGAAAAAACATTTGCGGTATCGCTCTCTTTTTCCTTTTTTTTTAAAGTGGCAGTATTACATATTTTCCAGGTATATTGCCATTTTATATCACAACCTTGTAACTCTATTACCTTCAGTTGTTATTAAATTGTATATCAAAAATAACTTAAAAAAAATTTGACCTTGTAATTTCAAAACCTCTTGAATTCGGGCCTCTCTCTCTTTAAGATCCCCTGCTTTTTCTGAAACTCTGCCTTCAGGAAGTCATCACAACATGGCTCCTCTATTAACCCTTTAACAACATTTTCACCAGTGTTGAACTGAGAAGTAGCTCGTGTGATGAGCTCAGTTGATGCTCAGCTCCACCTGGTGTTTGCTAATTGCTGCTGGCTATTCTGAAGGAGCTGAGTGGGGCAGCTGCATATGAAGCAGACGCTCTGCTTGGAGACTGGAGCTTTGTGAAAAAGGCGGTGCTAGGTGAGACCAAACGCTTCTGCACCCAAAATGGCCACCAGGGGAGATTGAAGGATTTCTCAAAAATGCATGAAAGAATAAAGCAACACTCCACCTATGTTTTTGATGAGTGAATAACATTATAACATGATGAAAAGCTCAAGTCGATTTCACGATACTATCCCTTTAATTTCTTTTTTTTCTCTCTCTTTTTTTTGCATTTTGTGCAATACATTTAAAAACCCATAAATTTGATATTATTTTTATTTTTATTGGTGGCAGTAGTATGCCAAATTCCACAAAGTTTGTACATTACAAATTGCAAAGTCATTTTACGGCTTTTTAGCTTTTTTATTTTGATTATTTATTAGGTAAGAATGTTGTAAAACCGAAGCGATTTACACATAAAAAACTTTATGACACATTTGACAAGAACAATTCAGCTTTTTCAGTCTTCCTGCTGGCCGTGTAAACGAAATTATACCGCGTGGCAAAAAAAAAAGAGAGAGAGAAAAAGGCTGGGTCGAGGAGGGGCCACCGGGTCAGATTTCCACAAGAGTGCGACCCGTAACCCACTCACAACCACCCCATTATGCTAAAACTGTGCGCAGTCGCTGATCTGTAAGCAAACCGTTAGCTCGCGGCCTCCCCCTGTGACCCATCCATGTGTTCTACAGATCTGCGCTCCAGCCCTCCCTGCTCCCCGAGCATCCTTCCAAACAGGCAGGGGGAAAAAAAGAAGCCAAACACGCAAAAGTTTTCCTGTCGTCAGAGCAGAAGTCGACATGGATAAAAAGGAGAGGTTTTCGTGACCGAAGCAAACAACTTGGGTTAACTTTTTGTTTTGTTTTTCCCCTTCGCTAAAAGAATGATAACATAGCCTCCGGTTTTCGGTGGTGTTTTTGTGTGAAAACGGTAACAGTGGAAAAGTTTGAGGCAGCGTCAGACGATGGCGCGAGACGGCGAAGACGCCGGGATGGACAACGTTTCAAGAGCCAAAGGGCAGCGAAAGAAAAGGCCGAAGGAGAACAAAACCAGGACCGTTCACGCCAACATCCACTACGACAACGCCAAGGGAGATGAGAACCCCAACAGACACTACGCTAGCAACAAAATCAAGACCACCAAGTACACCGTGCTGTCATTCCTGCCCAAGAACCTCTTCGAGCAGTTCCACCGCTTTGCTAATGTTTACTTCGTCTTCATCGCTCTGCTCAACTTCGTCCCGGTCGTCAACGCCTTCCAACCCGAACTTTCTCTGGCTCCCGTGGTCTTCATCCTGTCCGTCACTGCCATTAAGGACCTGTGGGAGGACTACAGGAGGCACCGGTCGGACACAGAGATCAATCACATGGACTGCCTGGTCTACAGCAGGTAAGGCCGGCCTGCAGTCCGCCTGGATCCTCAGCCTGGACGCTTTCTGCCTCGTTGCAGACGCGCAAGCCGTCCTGCTCCCATGCATCTGGTCCACTCACATCAGTTGGTGACGGAAACTTGGGGAAGAAACAAAACAAATCAAAAACGGCAGTCTTTAAGATACCTGCTAACGAGTCATGCCGATTCAGCTGTTTTCCTTGCTTCCTCACTGCAAAAAACACCAAATCCTACCAAGCAACTCTAGACTCGTTTCCTGCGCAAAATATCTGAATACTCTTGAAATAAGGCTAAACTAACCTAGGAGCATCTTTTCAGTGAGATACAAGAGCTTGTTTTAAGGAAGAAATTCCTTAATATTGATGAAAAAAGTAGCAGTTCCATTGGCAGATAAATGAAGACGATGAGAGAATCTGCCAATGAAACTGGTATTTTATCAATATCAATGAATTATTTACTTTAAACAAGCTTCTACATGTTGCTGATGAGTTACTATTAAGTTAGCTTTGTCTTAATTTAAGTGTACTAAGATACTTGCACTAGAAACTAGACAAAAGTACTTAATAGTGTGTTTACTACCAGTGTACTTCAGTGGGATTGAAAGTGATTTACCAAATTAAAGTACAACATAGAGGTAAAGAGGAAGTTGGGTTTTCCGAAATAAATGCGTGGATGAAACTCGAGCTCAGGCAGATTTAAAACTTGTAAACATCAGATTTCAGGTTGTGCCACAAATTCTCTGTTGAATCTAAAAAATTTGCTTTCAGATGAATGATACTGGAAGAATATTTACCAGATTTAAACGTTTTAGCTCCCTGGTCAAAGACAAACTTTTACCTGCTTGTCAAAAGGATCTTGAGGATCAAACACGTTCTTGTACAGACTTGACTACAATAAAGTACGCCTGCAATGCTTTTAATTAAACAACGTATGAAAAATAGAATCAAAATTAGAATGCTTATCACATCAATTTCTGATCATTTTAAGGTTTATTTATCATTATTTCTTCTATTTTTTTTCTTGTAAAATTGTCTTTTTAGTATTATTTTGCTAGGTAATATATTATTGTTGCCTGGACATGATACTACAATCTCAAAGAAGGGATGATAGAAATAAAAGCCATTCTTTTTTTTTTTTTGATAAAAAAAAAAGAAAATTGGACATGGCATAAAAACAATCTGAGATTGTATTTTGAAGCTCAGCTCTGGTGTGTGTCATGTCATTTTTGGATCAGTGATCTCTGTATGTTCAGAGTTTATCCCTGACCTGTCCGATACTGTTTGTTCACTGATTTTCTGCAACAAATCTCAGAGGCCTTCAAAGAAAAGCCAAATTCACTCTGAGATTAAATTACCGTACAAACTAAGTTAGCTGATCAGTCTGGGTTTGAGATTTTCATTTGTTTAAAAAAATTTTGAAAATCCAGTATTGTCGACATTGAGCAAGTTTGCACTACCTTGTCCTGGTCTATCCATCACATAATATTCTTATGAAATACATTGACATTTGTGGCTTTTAATGTAACCGGCTGGAAAAAAAAGAAAATTTCAGTGCTTTCCATCACCTGGTATAACACCGGCTGGCCTTCATGCATGTCACCTGAATCGTCACTTCCAGATCCAACTCTTCCGGCCTCAGGGCTAAAGCTTAGAAACAATAAAATCCTCCACAGATGTCCGTCAAAGAGATACAAAAGATTGTTTTGTATATCCTGCAGCATTTGCTTTTGGTTCCGACTCGTCTGAATGGCTTTCCAACCTGATGGCCCGTTTCTGACCAGTTTCCTGAGTATGTGTGCCCAGACTGTTCTTCCCTAATGAAAAGCAGCACTGTCGTCCTCCCTCTATAGAGCATAATTCACAGGCATCAAAAGCTCCTCCGTGTTTGGCGGCTCCAAGGTGTTTGCACACAGACTTGACCCGTGTCGTTGTCAAGTTTGGACATAATTGGATTGTCTTTTGTGGCGGCGGCAGTCTTATTATGCTAAACATCCCAACCTATGGAGCTGCTGACCTGACTAAACTCATACAGTACCCTGCACACCTCTGCTCATGCATAAACATGACGGACTACGAATCAGCGTTCATATGATGGGAATTCTGTCATGCAGCTACATTCCTTTTAATTAGAGGGTTAATCTAATGAAGTTGGACCTTAATTTTTAAGGAATCTAAATATTAGCTTTGAAGTTTTGAACCGTATTGTTTTAATACGTCGGCGATGGTTCATTCGACCAGTGATCATAATGGGCTGTGACTGAAAAACATGGATTGTCTCTTGTTCACTACGAGCTTCAACACTGAAAATATCCAGCTTTTTTAATTCGGTGTGTGTAAGCAAAATCAGATAAAAGGGATATATTTTTTTCTGCTGGCTCTAAGAAGGAGACCAACATATACAGACCCACCAACGGGAGTTTTAATATTTTGATAAATAAAAAGTTGAAACCAGAAGCTTACATGTACCAATTTCAATTTTTTCCACTGTCTGCAGTTAAATAAGACCAAACGTCTCGTTTTCTGTCAGTTAGGATAACCAAAATGATTTGTATTTGCCAAAGGCCTAAAAATTGGCACATTTTCCAAAGATTTATTGTTGTAACTTCAAATTCAGAACTTTACATACATTTGGTCAGTATCAGCGATAATTGTCACTTGGGTCAAATCTTTCGGGTTTCCTTCCAGAAGCTTCTCTCAATGGATTGCTGGAGTTCTGTTGAGAGCTGCTGGAACTGAGTTGGGTTTATAGTCCTTCTCACTTATAGAAGTTTGTGGAAGGAAACCCAGAAGGTTTGACTCAAGTCCTACAATTTAAAAGACAGTTATCTCTGATACTGACCAAATGTATGTCTGCTTCAAAATTCAAGGAAAGTTACAAAAACAAATCTTGGCGCCAAGTTTTTCGGTGTATGTAAATATCTGGTTTCAACTGGAAATTAAACTCCATATCTATTCAAATTTTTCAGAGTTATAAAAATAGCCTGTTTTCAGTTTTTGACAGGTAAATATTGTATAATCCATAATGCATGGAGAAAATTTCATCAAATGAAAAGCATCCAGCTATTAAAGTTTTTGAAGGCCAATCATAGGGACAACAAATCTCATATCAGCAGTTGCAGCTTGCTTTCTTAGAAGTAGCACAGTGTCTGTGTGAAGTCACACACCAAGTGTACGTTGTTCCGGCAGAGAGGGCAAACGCTACGTGGAGAAGTACTGGAAAGAGTTGCGAGTCGGGGACTTTATCCGGCTGCGATGTAACGAGATTCTCCCCGCCGACGTCCTGCTGCTGAGCTCCAGTGACCCGGATCGCCTGTGCCACATCGAGACCGCCACGCTGGATGGAGAGACCAACCTGAAGCAGAGGCAGATCGTCCGCAGCTTCTTCGACCTGGTGAGACTGAAACAAAAGTTGTTCTCGACCTCCGTTCATCATCCGCTTGCTGCTACATTTTGCTGTATCGTCCCTTTGCTTTTCAAGTGTAGTTTCAGGTTTTATGACTAACAAAATTTTTATCACAAATTGCAGGGAGAAGCAATCACTGCTCACTCCTATCAGTGAACTGTGGGCTAAGGTGTAACAGAAATGCTTCTGAAGATATTTATAATCTACAAAAGGCGGTTATGATAGAAACTCAGGTGAAGAATCTCAGTTATGGACAAAAAAACCCAAAAATGTTTTCTCCGGTTGACGTTCCTGAGATTCTTTTCAAAACCCACCTGATAAATAAAAAGGAGATAGTTTTCAGCTTTTGAGATGGAACAATTAGAATAAAGAAAAGGGCAAAAATATTAACAAAATAAATACAGATTAAGGCAAATACTTGCATACACTGTGGAAAAATGATTATGTGGAAATATTGATGCAGCTTCTCAAGACTTCAGCCAGAAAGCTGAAGGTTGGACACAAATGGATCTTCCAAAATGATACATTTTTCCACTCTATTAAATGAGGCTAAATTTTTTATGTCTTTAGCTCAGTTTAATAACAAAACTTCATGTAGTTACAAATAGCACGATAATGAATATAATATACATGTTATAAACATTCAAATCCAAAAATGTTCTTACATTTCCTCCATGATTGAACTGCCTTTTAAAGTTGAACTTGATTAAATGTTTTGGTTATTTTGGGTATACGTCTATAAGTTTCACATTTAGAAATGTGGAGGCAGAATTAATCAACTCCCTCTCTGAGGAAAACTTTTTTTTTTCAAGAACAGAGGCATTTTGCTGCTCACACCGCCACAATCAGCCACTTTCTAATTTGCACTGTGGTGTCGAACTCGACTGCAAGAACAAAATCAGACGAAAGTCAGATTGTTATACTCTGATATGAAGCCAATGTACCCATTATATGAATACAATGCATAAATTTCCCCTGAGAATAGTTGGCTTTTTCACATACATCTTTTTAACTCTGTCTATAAATTTCAATGAGCTTTGTGATGGCCGCTCCAAAAAACATGTTTACCTCAACTAATTTATCTGCTTAGGTTTAGGTTTGGAAGATCCATTTGTGTCCAACCTTCAGCTTTCTGGCTGAAGTCTTGAGATGCTGCATCAATATTTCCACATAATGTTCTTTTCTTTTGAACAGAGAAAATTTTACACACATCTTAGCATCCATAACCAAAGTGAAGTGGGGGCTCCAAATATTTTCTCATTGGGTGTTTTTGTCTTCACAGGACTGTGACTTTGACCCATTAAAGTACAGCAGCATAATTGAATGTGAAAAGCCCAACAATGATCTGAACCGATTTCGAGGCTACATGTGAGTATTACTTTTTTTTTTTGTCTTAATAACTTTTAGAACTTTTGATTTTCAATTGCTCTTGTACCTCATCGCGGCTCTATTCATTTCTATGTTCTCTGCTTTTGAACAACTTCTTCTCCTATTTACTTTCACATATCTCAGATGAAGGCTTATGGCCTCTTTTTGAAGATTTGTTAACCAGTTGTCTGTACTGTTTTCTTTTTGTTTGTTTTTGTTTTGTTTTTTCATATGTGCAGCCTTGTTGGAAGTCCCTCCCTGCTGTTAAATTTGTGGCATCATCATCCATATAGTGCATGGTTGTGGTGTTTTCTACTGTAAGAATGACTTATCTGCTTCGAAAAAAACACTCAAAGGCACATTGTGATTTATTTGTGTCATACATTCAGTTTTATTTGTTTATTTCTGGCACTAAGTTCTAACTTTTATTTTCAGCGTCAGAATGACTTGTTTGCTCTTATTTAGATGTTACATTTTCTCTGTAAATGATCTCAGATGGTGGTTTGTAGACAAGTCAAGAGTTTCAAAGTTAAACTTGGGTTGTGCTCAAAACTGAAACAGAATACCTAAGCAAATGATATAGTCAGCCTTGTTTGGATGTGAGTTATGACTGTGCAAATTGCACAAACCTCAAGGTATGCAACAAAAAAATTACATACCTTGATTATGAGCAGCTGTGTGTTGTCAAGTTTCTTAAAGGGTCAGGTTAAAGTTTTGCATCCAGTTTCAGTATTTGTACTGGAAATGATTAGGGTTGTTCTCCTAAGGTATGCTTGCTACAGTAAAAGTAAATGGAGATTTTTCACTTTTCCCTGCTTAGTTCATGACTGGTTTGGATTTCCAGCTGTAATTCAGTCAATATAAATCATTTGTAATGATTTATATGTAAATCTTTACAAATGTAATGTGTCATGCTACAAATCATTCAACAACGAGAATACACACAAGAATTTCCTGTTGTGAATTTTCTTCTTTCTGCTGTATTATACAGCATTTTTTTTTGTTTTCTAGAATTGTGCCCTTAGTGTATGCTTTTGTTTTGTTAGTTGTTTTTTTTTTTTTGTTTGGTGTTTTGAACAAATTTCCTTTGGTTTTGGATGTTGCACAGCTGACACTTACAGCTCTGATATTAAAAAGAAAAGCACTCGTCCTTTCCCAGTTTCCTAACATATTTCTGCCTATTTCATTATTACATACCAGTCCGCCTCTGTCGGTCTCTCACTTCCTGTGTACGTTTTTATATGAGAACGACTTGACCGGGGTCAACCCAATGGCTCTGTTGTGATTCAAATCTGTTGAGTATAAACCAGGCCCCCCCTCCCCATTTTTTATTTTTTTTTGAAGGACTTTTATTTTTTTTTTTACAGACTTGATAATTAATTTTACTTGTTGCTTCTGTAGTTCATTAGAATTTAAAGTTTAGGGATCTTTCAGAAGGTGCATTTTTACCGTCATATTGCTTGAAAATGGACTCAAAACAACAGCGCCATGGTATCTAGGACAAATTATCATCCAGTACAAATTTGTTGGTGTGCCTGGATCCCCACCACTTCTCATGATGTCACCACATAAATACACTGGATTTGCTGAGCTACCTGTAAAGAATCCATCGCGACTTGTCTTCAAACTATGACACGTATTCTTTGCTTAGAAGCACACCAGATGCTGCAGGTATTGAGTTGCCAGGCTACAGTGGAGCTCAAGGCTCACCGGTGCTTTATTACATTACGGTCAGTGACACCCGGTCTAATCTGGCTTCCCCTTCAAAGAGAGAGAGCGAGCTCAGGGGGGGTTATCTCCTTTTCTAGCTGTGCTAGCTGTGAACTCCAGTAAGCTGTGTGTGTGAGCTAACTGCTTCGGGATCAGGGAAACTCGTATTAATCTATAGACCAGTGGTGATGTGTTGGCTTGGTGTCAGAGGTCAGGTGCGTGACCTTTGTTGTTGGAAAGCATTATGATAGTAGCATTGCAGTGTTAGTAATGTTTCAAATTCCTAAGAGCTACAGGAAACATCCTGAAACATTTGTTTAAAAAAATTGATTCAGCTTTTGTACAAAAATGATTAGGTCTTTAGTTATGCAATCATAGCGCAAATCTGGGGTGTACCGCAGCGGATGTTTTCTACAGACATATTAAATCTTACATGAAAGCTAACAAATCTCAGCTTTTTTTTTCAGTCAAACATTTCTTTTAATGAGGTGAACATGCAAAACTTTTTAAAAATTTTTTTTTTATAAAAGATTTGGATCTAAAATGATTTAGATTAAAATATCTGACAAAAATATTTAAAATATTGCCTACTTTATTTTAGCAAGTAAATATTAATCACAATATAATTTAGAATATTTTGTTAGACTTGACTGAATTTACTTATTATTTGAATTCTGGATATATGATATGTAGTGGTGTCAGATTAAAAGTTGCTGAATACAAACGCAGACAACACTCAGATATTTAATATGGTGTTTGTGGCTGTAAGAATCGGTTAAAAACCTGGAATTTTGTTATTGAAATGGGACATGATAAAGTTAATGAGGTGTGGATTCTTCTATGAGGCCTTGCCTTCATTCAGGCTTAAAACAGACAAGATGTCGGTGACAACTGAGCAATAATGATTTTTCTTTCATCTGAGTCGTTACTTAAATTGAATTTTCCAGAATCCACCGAAATGGCAGAAGAGACGCACTTCACAAAGAGAACCTCCTTCTGCGCGGCTGCACTGTCCGCAACACGGAGGAAGCCGTGGGCATCGTTATCTATGCAGGTCGGTCCGACCCGGCGCCGCCGGACAGAGTCACCCTCCCCTCAAGACCTGCGACCAACACGCCTCGCTTCTGTCTGTGCAGGTCACGAGACCAAGGCCATGCTCAACAACAACGGGCCGCGTTACAAGCGCAGCAAGCTGGAGAGACAGATGAATGTGGACGTGTTCTGGTGTGTCGTCATCCTGCTGGTGATGTGCCTGTTTGTTGCTGTCGGTATGTAGAACTTTGTTTCATAGGCACAAATTTCACACGTCGCCGTGGAAAACCTTTCCCCCATCAGAGGCCAGTTTATTCTTTGCTTCTTTGTTGTCATATTTAAATGTTTTTAGCTCCACAAACAAATGTTTATAAATGAAAAAGTAAATAGAAGACTTCAAATGATGATTTAGTGGTTAAAAAGAAACTTGATGTTTTTCAGCATATTTTTGAAAACTTTTTAACCACACTCATGTTTTTTAAGGGTAATGAAAAAAGTTGCTTTGGCTTATCATCCCTGTCACCTTGTTTGCTCTTAAAGTCGCAAACTGCTAGCTGGACATCACGTGTCAGGATTGTCCAGTAAGGAGCAAAATGAATACTTCCATTAAAGCTTTTATTATTAACTTTTATTTAAAAGAATCTGTTTTTTTTTTTACATATTTGTGAAAACTGTCACTATAGTGTGATGGTATGCTATGAGACAGGTAATCTGTGAAAAGATGGCGGTCCTCTAGCTCCTCCCACGGTTATTACTGCCATCTGACCAAAAACAACCAATCAGGACCAAGAGGAGGGTCTCAGCGCTGTCAATCATTCGCATGTACTCACTGCTCAATATACTAATGGTGGAGAAAAAACATACCATTAAAGGAAAACTGTTCATTCCCAGTCACCTGTTGCTATGCTAACTAGCCTTATCATTCACTGCAAGCTCTGCGATTAGGAAGAAGCTGCAGCTAGCAGAGAGGAAATGAGAGGGGGGGGAGGGCATTTACAGCACTAAGACCCGCCTCCTGGCTCTGATTGGTTGTTTCTAATTAGCACCGGGAGAAATCATAGGAGGTTTTTTTTTCCCCCTCAGAGAATATGCCTTGTACCATTTTATTACAGATATGTAATGAAATATATATATATATTATTTATTTTATGCTCTCCGTCTTTCTGCTGACCTTTGCTGTTGCTGTTCCAGGTCACGGGCTGTGGATGTTTCAGTACGGAGATAAGAGACCCGTGTTTGACGTTCTTAGTCCTGAAGGGACAAACTTAACACACTCGATGTCAATCATTTATCTCTTCCTCACCATGATCATCATCTTTCAGGTACGAAACTGGGAGGAGGGGGGCGGACAAAGACCAAGTGCAACCCTGATAACACGTGCAGGGACAAACCGTATCAGTATTTCTAAAAGATTCTCTTCCACTGTACGCAGGCAGCGCTGTAAATCAAATTGTTAGCTGAAATTATTGCAACCTCTGAGCATATGACCTCTAAATCTTTATCTCTACTTAAAAAAAAAACCTTGGTAAGCAATGAGGATGTATGTGCTTCATGCCTCACACAACCACTCTGCTGTGCAAGAGCAAGTTGGGGAGGGAAAAATTGCCACGGAGCTCTTATTGATCTGTTTGCTTGTGACCTGAATCATCGTGTCACGCCGCTCCGTGTCATAAGCAGTGGTTCGGTTTTGATCTGCGGGGTTTATGTAGAAAACGGTGAATGAAAGTCGCCGTGGCCAGTAATGTGCTTTAGCTGTGTAAACAGCGTCTGCGTTTGCCATGCGGGGGGAAAGCGTGCAAACTTAACTGCCTTCCCAGATGTTATGACTCAGTCTTCTCAGCAAAAGCGTTAATGGAAATGTCCCATCACGGCTCACGCCAACCTTTTTCTCAAACAATTGAGCAAATGCGGTTTAAAAGACTTTTTAAACAGTCTTCCTCCAAGACCATACAATACTTTTCTGTTCGTTTAAAAACTCCACAAAGCTTTTTTTTAAATATGTTTTTAAACATTTTGACATTTAAAAATATTTTTTTTTAAAGCAATGACGAGGCCTTTCTGGTCATTCTTAAAGTATTTTCTTCATTCATTCATATGTACATCAATGGCTTAAAAAAAATAGCAGATCTTTTTTTCATTTACTCTCGGTTTCCTTTCTTTTTTAAAAGTTATTGGCTGTAGAGGCCTTTATTTGACAGTGAATTGAGAAGAAAGTGGGTAATTAGAGAAGGGGGAAGACATGCAGCAGAGGTCGCCAGGCAGGGAATCAAACTTGCGACAGCCACGTTGAGAACTAAGGCCTCAATATGTGGGTTGTGCTTAACTGCAGCACCCTGTTTTCCTTTAAAAAAGATGTTACGCCAAAGTTTCAGGGCCTGGCTACAAGAATATTTATTTTACAATGAGAATATAATCTTAATATTATCATAAGATGCGATTTTACCAGATGAAACATCTTAATATTGCAAGAAAAAAGCTTTGATAAAGTTATCAAGATCTGAAGAGACCAGCTTAATCCGTGCGACTCTTCAAAATGATCTCAATTGTTTGCACAGTGATATTAATTTGATGCTGATATGTTAAAAGATTAAATATTTCTATTGAAATATCAGCTGTAAAATTTAATATGCTCAGCATTCTGCATTTTAATATTGTATTGTTTTTTATCTTTAAGTTCTCATCAACTTTTTTTGTAATATTATTTTATTCTCCTAATTAAAACAATTCAATTGTAGCTTGGCCCTAATATTCCATTATAGAACTTGGTCAAGTCTTGAAGTCACGGTTCATCTATGCTTTACACTGCGCTTGCCTACCAAGATGGCGCTTCAGTGGCACAGATCACTTCCGGCTCAGATTTGTAGGACGTGTGCATAGAAGCAGTAAAAATCAGTTGTCAAACAAGATGGCATCATTCAGTTCTGACATCATTCTGAACGATGGAAACCCAAGGAGTGGGTTAGTGGGGGAATATCGATGGCAGTATTTTAAATGTTAAGCTCTGAGAAGTGGTTCAGACTGTCTGGTCACTTGTGCGTTTTGTGCTCTGAATCCTCTGTTACTTTCCTCTCCCAGGTGCTGATACCCATCTCCCTCTTTGTGTCAATTGAAATTGTGAAGATCTGCCAAGTGTACTTCATCCATCAAGACATGGATCTGTACGACGAGGAGACAGACTCCCAGCTGCAGTGCAGGGCGCTTAATATCACCGAGGATCTGGGCCAGGTGCAATACATCTTCTCTGACAAGACGGGCACGCTGACGGAAAACAAGATGGCATTCCGGCGCTGCACAGTGGCCGGCGTGGAGTACTCGCATGACGCCAACGGTGAGTTCCACCGGCCGACGCGCAACGCTGGTTTCCCCTTTGAGGCCCTTCCTAACGGCTGGGTGTCTTTGCGCGATGCAGCTAGAAGGATCGCCATGTATCAGGAAATCGATTCCGAGGAGGAGGAGTTCATGTCCCACGGAGGCACCCTGCCCAGACGGGACAGCGTCACCAGCCATCAGAGCGGACGCAACGTGCTGCGCTCCCACAGCACCAAGTCCCACCGCAGGACGGGCAGCAGGGCCGAGGCCAAGCGGGCCAGCATCCTCTCCAAGCACACGGCCTTCAGCAGCCCCATGGTCAGCTCAGCACTCCGTTCAGCGATGTCCCGGTCCGCTCCAGTCCCCGCTAATGCTTCCCTTGTCTGTCCTGTAGGAGAAGGATGTCACCCCCGATCCTCAGCTCCTGGACAGAGTCAATGAATGCGGCAGTCAGCTGGACTTCATGCGCTTCCACCGCCAGTCCATGTCCCACCTGCCCTCTGGCCTCTCTGATGTCATAGATTTCTTCATCGCTCTCACGGTCTGTAACACCGTGGTGGTGACCTCGCCTAATCAACCCAGGCATAAGGTAAGGCATGGCGGCTCCCACAGGCCTTTGTTTGATTTTGTGATTTTTTTTTGTGTGTGTGTGTGTGTGTGTGTGTGTGTGTGTGTGTGTGTGTGTGTGTGTGTGTGTGTGTGTGTGTGTGTCCTATAGTTCTCAACTTAAAAAAAGTCAGAATTCAGTTTTTTTCAGTTTTTTCTTCTTCACATTTCTTATGGTGTATTAAATAAATACAGAATTGAAGATGGGTAACTTCTCTGAATGAAGAGCAAACATGTTTCAACCAAAAATACACTTGCAGTTTTTGTGAGTTTCATCAGTTTCTTTCAATACAAATATTGAAAGAAAGTGATTTGTAAAATTTTTCTTTTGACTGATTTTTTTTTCTTATTGTTGCCTAATTCATATTCATAATATATGAATTATCATATTCATCATTAAAATATAAATTTTTTTTAACCTAACTTTATATTATGAGTTGATGATTGATAATTTCATCATTTACTCAGTACTTGAGTCGACTTTGTACCAAATACTTTTTTTTACCTTTTCTTGGAGAAGTCAAGACCCAAGAAGGGTGAAGTCAAGTGAATGTGCGTAGCCTGTAATTTAATTTTCTAAGTTGCAATTTAATGATTGGTTCAGAAAATTGCTAATATTTGTGGCATAATTAAGTTTTTCATATTTTAGGTAGTCAAAAGAGTTGAAAGTTCTCAGTCATCCTTCCTAAGCTTCCACCTTCACCAGTCATTCTTTTCCTAAAACTTTCCAAATTAAAGCAAAAATGTCCATGTGCACGTACCTTTCACTGCCATTCTTTGATGTGCTGTGTCCAAACAAAACCGTGTATCCGAGTTTTGTTTTGCCTCGACGTGAGCCTGGGTGTGGTTGTCCTGTTCTGAGGTGACATCCTCCCCACCCATCACACAGCTTCTCCCCCTCCACCTCCTGTCCTGCCCTCTTTTGCCCCCCTATTCAACACCCAGAGGGATGGAGCTGTTGCGATTAAACTGTACAAACTGACACATTATTCATGTGAGTGCGTGTTTGCCCTTCAAGGTTATCGCTTCCAGTGAAGAAAAAATACAAGCCTTGTGCAAAACAAAATCAGCAGCTTTGATGCAGCTTCCCTCCAGCTTTCGTTTCTGCTCGTCTTTATTGTTGTGATTTGTTGTTCCCCGCGCCGGTGCGATTGTTCACATTTTATTAAGATGCCCTTGTAGCTAACCCAGCCCATTGAAGGATTTATACTTGTGTATTTGTGAGAGCCGTGACTCTTGCAGTCAGGAGACTGCGGAGTGAGTCACCCTCTGTGTTGTCGTGCAGCACCACCCCGGCATTTAGGACTGGCTGAAGGATTTTTGCCAGGAGAGGCATTTTTATCAGTGCTGGAGTGTGTAGTGATGGATTGATGCTAATTAAACAAAAAGGACAAAAATTGCTCTGAAAAAGTCCTGAATTTAACCTGCATATAAAATACCTTTAATCAATTTTCTAAAAGTTAAGAACATTTCTCGATCACATTGGTGCTGTTTAATATAATGTAAGTAATACATTGATTGAGAATGTATTGATGCCTGATTTGTTTGACTAAGTACTTCCAGGACTGGGCCTGTCATGATAGCAACTCAGAGTGGTCCCAGATAAACAATAATATTGGTTATTTCTGTGATAATTTTCAGGTGATTGAATGATAATCCAAGTGCACCCTCTCAAAGATCAATAAACTTTTATTTCTAATGAACATTTAACTATGAAAGTGGAAGACATTTTAAATATGCAGAACCCTAAAATTATTCTTTTCTGATAAGGAAGGTAAAACAGGACTGTTTGGAAATGCGTTCACTCAAGAAAAACATAGCCCCTTTGCTACTAATATATTGAATAACTAGACATGCAAGTGCAACAACATAGATTTTTTAAAATTAATTTATTATTTAGATTATTCAACCGTCAGATTACTAATTTAGCTTTCAGAAGGTCCTTGTCAATAATGACATTTCTTTGAAAAACATACTTCAGAAATGTGAACTGTGGACGCTGACATTAGTCAGTGCTGCTGCGACATGTTTTGCATTTTGGACTTGAATAGCTTTAGTGACAGTCTAACACCTTCTAGCACAACTTGAACACAACAATATTCTTTTTCAGATCATTTCTTGGAACAGAAATGAACCCCCATTGACCAAGAGAACTGACTTTTTCATCAATCACCATTTGTGGGTGTCGCTTGTGCGTCAGAATTATAGACGTACAAGAAACATGTGAATACAAAAGTTTCTGCTCATGATTTTGTATGTAAAAAAAAAAAAAAATTAATTAAATGAAAAAATCCCGGCCCAACTTTTTATTTTGAAATTGGTTCTTTTAACTTTTGTGACTCTGAATTACTTTCATACAATCTCAGTGGTACTAAAAATGAATTTGAGTTCTGTTCTTGCAGTAACAACTTCCACATTTGAGGGCTGTTGTAGTTAACATGACCTTTTTCCAACAAGTAAACAAACCATGCTTAGTGCTGCATGGTTTGTTTACTTGTTGGAAAAAGACCCAATTTCTCAGTTCCTGGCAATCCAAGCTGGATGAACTGCTACACATGGACTCCTTATGAGTACCTAAACTGGTAATAACCTTTTGTAAGTGAGTTCAGTTTCAGTATTGCAAACATCACCGTTGATTTGTTGGGTCCTTTTATTTTATCACAGGCCATTTGCTGTTGCCTTTTATTTGATCTCCTGACAGACTGTGTGGCATGGTGTTCAATTATAGGTGGTAAAATGTTGAAACAGCCCCAGCAATGCTACTCCACAGGGCAGCAGCTGTTTCCAGCCAGTGTTTACTAGCAGTCGCGTACTTTCAGGCTGACTGTACCAACCTGTTTTCCTTCAGCAAGTCTTCCTCTGCTTAGACTCCTGTCTTTCCCAAAATTAGCTCAATGTTTGCTCTCCTCGCCGATGCTCATAGTTGGGTCACATGGGTGAAAACTGCTTACGATTGACTGCCAGGAACCTTTCAGATTTTTTTTTCTATGCATGTGTGAGAATATAAAAGTGGAAAGTATTTGCCTGCTGTCAGGAACCAGCTGTTTGAGATCCTACAGTTTTGCTTTGTTAAATGTTGCAGCGACAGCTTGCTTTTATTTTAAAACCTTGAAATATTCTCCCTTTCATTTCACTTTTTTTGGTACATTTACTTGCTTTTGATGTGGCCAAGTTTTGGCTCAAACTGCATATCACTGTGTGAAAAGTTTTGGTTTATGTCTTCAACACCTATCAAGTCTAGGTTTATCGTGACTTTGTTAGTATTTGTAGGTTGCAGGGTTATAGATTTATTGTAAGTAATGTGGTTACCGTCTGCGTTAAATGAAAGGGTGTTGTTTTATTTTATGCTCTGAAATTCCGACAATTCAGAGGTGCACCAGTAGATAGTAATAATTTGGAAATAATAATGTGAGATCAACAGCCACGGGCACAACGGATAAAGCGGACCCTTAGCTTTCTCCGTCTTTACTGTCACTAGTGTATTAAAACCTTGCTTAACCTGATGGGGAGGCAAGTAAAACCTGGTGGCCCACCAGGCTTTTGATTCTTTCTCACTGTGAGAAAGCTTGAATTCATTGGGCATTTATGTCATAAAGGTCATTCAAACAAATAAAAAGATTGACTGGTCCGATCAAAGTGACTTTGATTGGGCCATTTCTACACATAAACCCGTTTTTATGTAAACCGCCCCATTTGAGCTTTGCCTATATGATCAGCAGTGCTGTCCTGTCCTTTTCACTTGTTTTTGTCCAGAATTATCATCTATTTAATTGTGTTATTAACCATTTGCCAGTGTTATTGTTGCAGTAACTATTTAGTGAATAATCTTACAAATGTACATGATTCCTCTTTGCGCCAGATAATGTTCCTGAAAAAAGTGCCCCTGTATATTCCGCATACAAAAACTGGACAGTGAAAATGTACAAGTTGAGGAGAAACATCGACACTGCTGTCTGTTGCGCTGAAACTTCTGACAGCACTTTGAGCTCTTTGGAAATAGTTCGACTCGGGCCTGGTGTCAAGTTTGGCAGGCACTGAAATGGCGCAATTTATGTCATGTCCCTAGGTCAATGAAAGCCAATTTTCAACTATAACACTGTAAACATAAGATAATACAGATAATGGATGGATGAATGGATTAACACACACCTTGCAGTTAATTTAATTTTCAGATGTTGGATTGAACAGTATTCCGATGTCCAAAAGTTTGGGATATTATTCTACAAACTAACCCTTCTCCAAAACATTCTCCCTGCCCATTAATGTTCAGGGTTGTAAAGTGATGAAGTTAAGTTGAAAGGGTTATGAACACGTAACCCTAGTACCGCAGATGTGTATTTATCCTTTAATCTTTGTTTTCAAGGTCCGAACAAAGTTTGAAATAAAGTCTCCGGTTAAGACCATCGAAGACTTCATCAAGCGCTTCACCCCCAGCCGCCTGACCTCAGGCTCTACCAGCAGCAGCTCTTCCAGTCTCAACCGCTCTTTCAACAGGGGCTGCTCCAGCTTGATCTCCTCCTCTGAGAGCACGCTAACCAAGCTGAACGAGGAGCGTCTTTCCAGCACCGTGGAGCCAGGCTTCAGCCCCATTTCACCCCGCTATGACGGAAAGCCCCCCGACAACCCCGAGAAAGAAGAGCTGCGCTACGAGGCAGAGTCGCCCGACGAGGCCGCGTTGGTCTACGCTGCCAGGGCGTACAAGTGCTCCCTGGTTGGACGCCTCCCTGACCAGGTGACGGTGGAGCTGCCTCACCTGGGGAAGCTGACGTTTGAGCTGCTGCACACGCTGGGCTTTGACTCCACCAGGAAGCGCATGTCGGTGGTGGTGAGGCACCCGCTCACCGATCAAATCACAGTCTATACCAAAGGAGCGGACTCCGTCATCATGAACCTCATCAAAACCCCTGACACAGGTAGGGAACTCAGCATGTTCAGTCATTTCAAGCTGTTTTCTGGGTTTGTGTAGTTTGAAGAGAAAGTTGGTGGCAGAGGAGGGCAATATGGACTTAAAGTGTTATCATAATATTTTGTGGTATTCCTGTGGTAACAATAAGTTTGAAGATAGGCACTATTTATTACTTTTTAGGTGACTGTAGCTGCGACTGCATGACAACAATTATAGCCTGACAAACACAGATATTGTCCTTAAAAAACATTAATTAAAAATTGATTTGTATCACTAAATTCTACACAGTAAATGTATTTAATCATACTTTCAAAGTTATTGATGCTTATTGATACACCTTCATTGAACAAACAATGGAGAAAAATAGCAACAATAATAATACAGACCATTTTCATTTAAATAAACAAATAAATCCAAATATTATAAGAAATGTATCATGATAAACACTGTGATAAATCCCCACCTGTAGTTGGAGGTAATCTCTGTTTTTGTGGTGAATTTCCATTCTGGTTTAGAGTTGTTGAGCTGGAAGGAGACCCTCCTGATCTTAAATTGTTTTGCATTTAAGATTAGTCGTGTTGTGTTGTAGAGTTTAACGAAACTCTACAACAAAATTTATGATGCCACTTGTTTGGGCAGCACAATATATCACAGTTATCGTCATTGCAGTACAATATGAACTTTGACATGCTAATGCTGTATGTAGTCATAGCAGCAGAGGCTCGCACAGGACATGGACAGACAGTTGGCAATGTTTACCAGTAATTTTGCCATTGCAAGATTTTCAAATGCCATGAATCCCACTGCTGTTGCACTTATGAAAACCTCATGACGCCTTCAAAAGCACAAAGCCTGTTGATTGTTCTTTTGGAAATAAAAGGGGCTACAGATGCAAGCCACACTTGGTATTTTTGTTTGTAAACGTGTATCATTTGTGCTACTTTACTTTGTGTTATCTTGTTGCATAAATGGTAATAAAATTCATTGACATTTGAGGTGGTAATGTGGCAAAATGTGACAAGGTTCAAGGATGTCTAAGGATGTTTTCACACCTGATAATCTGGTTGACTCAGTTCGATTTGGGAACTGAGTCAAAATTTCAACATTTGTTACATTTCCAGCTGGTGCGGTTCACTTTCACACTTAACTATGTCAAATGATGTAAACCAATTGGCAACAACTTTTCCCCTCTTCACCTGCTGTGACGCTGCACAAAGCACTACTGAAGGCAACGACACGGAAACTCCTGAAGAAGACACTGAGCGCAACTTCCTTTTTCACAAAATGCAAACGAAAATGGAGTGGCATCATATTGCTGTTGGATTTGTCTTTTGTTTCTGATAAGCAAGCTATTTGTCCCAGTACTGCGAGACTCTTACACCTGTTTTGGTTGTATTTACCAAGAATGCCCTGCGCTACAGTCACTCTCCTGCTTTTGGAGCGCTCTCCGGTCCGTTTAGCGCGATTCGAATACATGTGTGGATGCCAGAGTTCACTTCAACCACACCGAGACCTAAGTTTGTAGGCAGAGCAGTTTGCTTTTTTCAGCGCACGTCAGAGCTCAATTGCACATTCACACCTTCCCAAACAAACCAGACTTCATAGACAAACAAGCCAGAGTTTGATTAAAATGAACTAAATGGGGCTGGTGTGAATGTACCCTTAATGTTTTCACCATCCACCGAATACTCCGTATTAGCATGTCACCCCACATAACCACTCCATGTTGACTCCTCAGTTCTACATTTATTAGTTTCTCTCTCTACCAACAGTCAAATTTCTGGAGAACAAATCTACCTGAGCTTTTCAGCCGCAGCATATATGTCAGATTCTTTCTTTCTTTCTTTTATAACTAATGTAATATTTCCTCATTTCCATTCACTGAGCTTTCCTCAGAACCCCTGCCTCACACTTTGAAAACCTCTTTCGTAGAAGATCCACCTCTTACCTAAACTCTGCTCCTTTCCATGTCAACAAACAAGATCGCAGGTTATGTAAGAACTCACTTTTGAGTTTAAAAACTGCTTTCTGCTACCTTCCACAAATAAACTTCCTTTTTTCTTCATTTGCCTTGTTGCATAATCAAGGCACTCCTTTATATTCTAATGGTAAAGGCGCAACAGGTTGTTAGTATTCCAGGCACACAAAGAAACACACTTGTGTTTTCGACTAAATCTCTATACACGGTAAGGATTCTTGGAAAGGTTCAGTTCACATTAAACTCGACGTTTGCATCTGAAGTCCTGGCTTGCTATACAGCAAACTTTTTTGAAATGGAGAAACGACATGGTTATTTGTCATCATGTGGAGATTCAGCAGATAAGCCGAGTTTGAAAAAAAAACAAAAAAAATGGCGTATTGTGTTTTATTTTAGGAAACGGATCAGAGCGAACGGCAAGACAGTTGGAGGCATAGTCTTTTGCCTTACTGAGGTTTCCTCACATCCCTCCACAAAGATGCAAGTGAGACCTTAGAGTAAGCAAAACACAAAATAGACTTTTTAATGTGACAACAGAGCACACAGAAGCTGACATTTTTTCTCCACATAAATACACTTCTTCCCCCTTAAAACATTTTTTTTAAGAAATCATTGTCTGATTCCTTGTCTTTTCCCTTAGAAAATTTGCTGTTTTGTGTTAGAGAAAGATATGTAGTTTCTTTTGGAGTTTAGGAAGTGAAGGTCTTCCGGACACTGCAAACATCTTACCTATGTCCTTGTTCAGACAGTACAGCGCTCTGCAAGATGGTTTTGCAGGTAAAAATGTAGAAGAAGCACCTCAATAGTCCTTTCAGAAGCCACAAATCCTTCAACTCCATCTTGTCACAACAGAAACCTCCTTATAACTCTATTTAGCTAAGCTTATGAAAAATGGTCAAGGCTAGTATTAACCTTTCCCGTAAGACATTTTGCAGAAAGTAATGAAGAGAGAGAATAAATTGAAGTGACATTGGTTAAAAACTCTTTATCTCATTGCTTCAAATAAGATGCATACAAAATCAACGTCTTTGTAATCCACAAATACTTTTTGTTGTGTAGTTGGAGTCGGTCGGAGAGCAGAAAAGTTGAATTTAGTCAATCCTGGTTCTTTCTAAACATTATATTTTGTTTGGTTCATATTTCTCAATCTATTTAGTTTTCTCTACTGCTATTACTTTTTGTTTTTTTTCAATTTTATTTTATTAGGAGTAGTGTGCTCTGTATCATGGCTGCAAAATATGAATATAACAACACGACGATAAGTTACTTTTATCCAGAGAGCTACAACAATTTAGTGTTGATTGAATTTTATTGTCTGCTATCTTGGCTCTCAACTCTTGAGTAATGATTGTACACTTTGGCATTTTTCTTTCTATTTTTAGCTTTTATGATACATTCGTTTGTCTCTTTTTCTACTTTTCTTTCTGTCTGTGTTATTCATCCTAATAATTTAATAGAAAGTAACCTGTGCACCGCTTTTCCTTGGCCTCCTGTTAGGGAATGCCTGTAATCATTTTTCTCCTGTTCACTACTAGCAGAAAGTTTCAGCTTCAGAGATAAATGAGTGCCCAGATATGTTATCCTCCTGTCCTGAGTGCAGATAGACACTCCTATTTTGGTTTCACATGTTTTTAGACAGTCATCTCCACATTCTCTCTGATAAGGCTGGATTGTAAAATAATTACTCAACTCAACTTCCATTATGAGAAGAATGCAACTCTCTGGAATGTTTTCTGAAGGCTATGTGTTTTGTTTATCGTTTTAGGGGCATTTATGCAGTTTCTCTGTGAAATCAGCACAATGGTGAGATTTTGGCCTCATTCCTCCTCTAACAGATTTAATGGCTAATAGGTTGTGTTCATGCAGGTTGGGCTTCCCCGTAACACTGATCTGTACAGTGATAGCTTTCAGACGAGGCTGTCATTCAGTGTTGCTTTAATAACATCGCACACGGAGGCGCTGAATGTGGTCTGAAGTCCCTTGAGCCTTTAGAAATTGCAGCATGACTTGCAACGAAACTCCAGTTTCACCACTGCTGTATAGTCTTGTGTAAGAAACTGTATTACTTTCTGTAAGAATTGTGCATTAAAATGAAAATAAATATGAAAAAAAACTTGAATCTTCATATCTAGGTTGAACATGTTATCTGTTGACCTTGGTACACAGTGTTCAGACAGACTTTTCTATTTCTTTTTTTTCCACGTTATTACTGCAGAGTGTGTTTTTTGGGAGGGGTGAAGAGAACATTTATTCTCTTAACCCCCAAAAATCCAGTTTGTGTTACTTCCACATGTGGTACTAAATCTATCCGATCTGATCTGATCGTTTTCAAAGCGTCTGCAGTCTGAAAGGTCATATCGTATTTCGTCCAACTTTTAGGTCGTTCTGCACCAAACAGACATTGGCTAAACATTACAAATATAAATCTAAGAAAAAAACGTGTGTCACTGGAGCGCATCGCATCACAGTCCCACCAGTCTTGGTTCTGATCACACATCCAAACAGACTTTTCTACTGACGTTGCACTCGATGCTCCACAAAAAGCTGTTGGTCGTTATTTCCTTTTATCAGCAACCACACTAAAGAAAAATGGGACTCAGCAAAAATAAAATATCAAGACGTGCCTCGTGAATGTATCTTTGGTCTTCTTTAACTTCTGAGACCTTCACAGAACAACAAAACCAAATCAAATTTACTATTCCAGCAATTTCTGAAAGCAATATAGTTGCACTATATTTTTTTATTTTGGAGTTCTGAATACTAAATGTAAATTGATGCCACACTTGGGTCCTACATGGCAAATTTTTCTGGACAATAAATTGTCAAAGAAATTATTGTGAAAAATGACAGTATTGCAGTTGTGAGATCATTTTTTTTCAGCAATATATTGATAATGGCTCAAACATTAATGAACCATAACTTTGTATAGGACACGCCGACACAGGAATTGGAAGATATTTAAAACATTCAAAATAAAATGACAACCAAAAGCAAAAAAGAGAAAAAGTAAGTAAAAACCACACACCACCATATCTGTCCTGGCGTTTGAAGTCTGTTGCCGCCGCCAGTTTGCAGCTCATTTGTTCCTTTTAGTAAAAATAATTTGCTGCGGCGGTTCGTGCGTGGTCGTCGCGGCCAAGCTGGGCTGTTATTAGTGAGATTACATGGCTGGCAATCAGAGTGCTGGCTGGTGCATCTGTGTCAGGAGAGCCGTAAAGCCAATCTGTTGGTGTGCCGTTCCCTCTGGCCAAGATGCGGCGCCATCGGCGACGCTCTGTTACCAAACATAAGACCCAACATCCTCAGCAAACCGCACATGCTTGTATTAAACCAATTATGTAACGCAGCTGAAATAGGATGGGCTTTATTTTTGTGAGATGAAGAACTTCTGCCACCAACCTGTGTCTGCTTGATGAGTACCGTGACGTTTTTGTGAAAAATATTGAGATGCATGGTTACTGTAGGTGTGAGCACAGATGGTGCTCATGTTTCTGTTAACATCTCTGACGGTTTTGGTGCTAAATTTTCCCCACAGAGCAGAGTATTTGATCTTATCTAACCAATTCTTTCTGTTGTCTTCTTATTTTATTATTATTTTTTTAAGGCAACACCAAAGGAAAACGTCAGAAAAAGATTTTCTGCCGGACACAGAACTACCTGAACCTGTACGCCGCAGACGGCCTTCGCACACTCTGCATTGCCAAAAAGGTAAGTGTTAGGGTTGTGCGTCTCGCTGGATTCTGGGCAGGCTGCGATCGTAGTCCGGCACAGATCACTGCGCGGGCCAGCCCTTCCAAACGGGACATGCTTCATGACTCAGCTGCAATCTGTGCCTCGTTCCCAGGCTGCTAATTTATGCTTTCACAGGCCGTGTATTCCTTGCTTGTGCACAGCCTGTCACCAAAGCCGAGTGATGAAACACCTTGTCAAGGTTTCACATTCTGCTGTGCAGGAATCACAGCAGTAATGTTCCGTTTTCCCACAAGAAACAGAAAGCAGTGATTCTTTTGCTGTGTGTGTTTGAGTGTAACCTTCTGGTGTGTTTTGTGTGTGTGTGTGTGTCAGACTTTGAGTAAAGAGGAATACGGCCGCTGGCTGCAGCGCCACCTGGAGGCTGAGACGGCCATCCAGAGAAGAGAGGAGTTGCTCTTTGAGTCAGCGTTGAGGCTGGAGACAAACCTCCACCTTTTAGGTTTGTTGGGTCACTCTTCAGTTTCAGAACTCACTTCATTTTTAGAGCAGAAAAAAAATGTCTTCTGGAGAAGCATGGAGTTTGGTTTCAGTATTTTCCAGATATGGAAAAGAAACCCATTGTGTGTCAAATGGTGTGTCCTTCCCATCTTTTCTTTTCTTTGTGTTTTTTGCGATATGTACTACTTTCTTTCCCTTCTTTCTCTTCCTTTCTTTTCATGCTTCTCCGTTGTTTCTTCCTTGTGTGCTTCCTTCTATGCTTCCTTTCTTTGATGTAATCTTCCTTATGTTCCTTTCTCTGCTGTGCTCTTCCTCCCTTTCTTCCTGCCCAATGTCTTTCTTTCTTTTCCTACTTCCTAGTTTTCTTTGACTCATGTCCTTTTATACTCCTTAAGTTTATCATTAATTTCCTGAATCTTTTAAGTTTGTCTTCCTTCCTGGTCCTATGTATCACTTATTCCAAGGATCCTTCTCTGCCCTTTCTTCTGTTTGTCATTCCTTCTTACCTTGTCCCTTTTTCAATTTTTATCATAAATCCTTTGTTTTTTCCGTATGCCTTGTATTCTTTCCTGTCCTTTCTTTGTCATTCTTGTCCTTAATTGCATGCTTTCTCACTTGATTTTTTTCTCTCTTAATTTCTTTTTTGTCTCTTTTTCTTTTTCCCTCTTTCTTTGTCTTTGTTTCTGTCTGTCTAATAACATAAATGACAGAGAACTGTGGGAAGTTGAGTCTGGAAAAGTGTGAAATATGTAGATTAGAAACGTGTCTGTTGGGAAGCATTGTTGCAGACACTGACATGCGTCCGTCCACAGGAGCGACTGGCGTTGAGGATCGGCTGCAGGACGGCGTGCCAGAAACAATAGCTACGCTGCGGCAAGCCGGCCTGCAGATCTGGGTCTTGACGGGTGACAAACAGGAAACGGCAGTCAACATTGCCTACGCCTGCAAACTGCTGGACCCGGACGAGGAGCTTATGACGCTGAACGCCGACTCCCAGGTGAGCCGCAGCACCCAAAAGCTCACCCTGTTTACCTAATTCAGGCCGTATGCGGAATAATCAATACATTAATCATGTGCAAACCAAACATTAACGTAGGCTTTTCAATGAGTCAAGGCGTACTGTGGTTTTGCACAGCTACGGTTTCTAGACTGCTAAAATTCTCCATCATACCGTTGCTATGGTGTCGAAGTCTTTTCATGAGAAGCCAGAGGAAGTGAGAGCGTTTCCTGCTGCTGACTGAAGCAACAAAGGCACTTATATTTTCCTCCTCGCTTCTAGGAAAGGCCTACACCAATCAAACCAGGACTAATCCACCTAATTTTGATGACTCATTGAAATAATCAACTAATTTAGTAATTGATTAATCATTACCTGGAGTATACAGACTCAAAAATGTAAACTTCAGAGAAAAAGAACACAGTCGGAGCAGCTACAGAGACAAAATAAACACATTTTACATTCAAGACTCTTTGTCAGTAAATATGTTACCCAGAACTCCTCAGGTGGCATTTTTATCTAGTTCAAATTCTGTAAATAAAATCCATTAAACACCTTTTAATTACTAATCAGTTAATCCAACAAATAATCACCAGATCAGCTTTGCAGTGTATTGATATTAAAACGTGAAGATTTTCACGTTAGTCGTTTTCTTTCTTGTTTTTTTTATTTTCAGATGCACCATTTGCTACAAATGTTCAAGCATTCTCTAATAGAATACAGTTGCTGCATTTTGGTTAACAAAATGAATCTGTTTAATAATATAATAGAATTATTTGCAACTTTTAATGTGTTTCTAATATTGTTTAGAAGGAGGCTTAAATGCTAAATGTGCAGAATGCACCAATTTATCAGATTAATCGTTCAAATAATTGTCTAAAGATTAATTGATTACTAAAATAATCAGACATAGCATTATGACCGCCTTCCATATGGTGTGTGGGTCCTGCGGTTGCTGCTAAAGAAGCCCTGAGCTGTCAAGTGATGGACTCCACTAGACCTGTGAAGTTGTGCTCTATCAGCTTGCCTTTTTCCGTTAATGCATCCTGGTGCCAGGAGTTTTCCAGAAAAGATGATATGATTCGTTGGAATCCGTTGCTGCTAAGGCATGTGGTCTCCAGATGCAAAGCTGCTCAGGCAGTTTAGACATCGGCGTGTTGGTGTTGACCTCTACCTGACCCCGTACTTCTGTCTAATCCAGGAGGAGTGCGCTGTGTTGCTGGAGGAAAGTTTACGTTACATCCAGTCCAAATTCCTCTGCAACTCCGGAGACCCGTCCACCAAGACCTTCCCGAATAACATAGCGGACTTTGAGATTTACTCTTCATCATCCTTTTTCTCCTCCCACACCGCTCACTTCATTGTGCACCGGCTGGGCTTGGTAATTGACGGGCGGACCTTGGCCTTCGCCCTGGACAAGAGCCTGGAGGATAAGTTCTTGGCAGTCGCTCGTAGCTGCCGCTCGGTACTGTGCTGCCGGTCCACGCCGCTGCAGAAGAGCATGGTGGTCAAACTGGTGCGGAACAAGCTGAAAGTCATGACCCTGGCCATAGGTGAGCACCGAGTGAATGATGGAGCGTGACAAAAGTTTAGTTTTCAGTGTTGCCAGGTTTTGCTGAAATCCGATGGCCCAGCAGTTTTTCTGAAACCTAAAAACTGCTCCAAGTAGAATAGAAGCAAAATGTTTAGTCTTACTGGGATGTATTAAACACAGTTCCTAAGAAATCAGGAATCCAAATATTTTTCCTCTAACTATGAGTGGCTGGAGAGATGCATCTTTCTGTCCATCCCCAGTCTGATGATATACCTTGCTGAAAGTTTATTTGGAACCCAAAGAAGTTTTCTGTAACTTCTCCTGAAGGTACCGTCACAATAAGTCAAGTTATTTCAGTTTTAATGTTTGTAAAGGAACGCGATATATAGTTGGCTATAAAATTGCTGCATGCTCTGCATTTTAAATTCAGTTTGCTAATAAAGAAATTGCCCTTTCAGATGAATTATCCTCTGCCTTCTATACCTTTGCTTAAAAATAAACCTTAAGGACAGAGATGCGGTTTCCATCATTACAGTATTTGAAAATAATATCACAAATGAATGTTGTCCCAATGCAGCTCTAATCGGAAAGGTCATGACCTTTTTGTAATTGGATTGCTTCAGGCTTGTAATTTTATTTATTTTTATTTTTTTGCTTTGCTTTAATCATCATCAGCTGTGATTATACCTACTGTGGTATCTGGGTCATTAAAAATAATGACTCAACATTATTGAAATCTAGCAGTGTTCCTCAGGTGCAAGTACAGCTGAGAGTCGGAGCAGGAAATGATTCTGTTGAATTGAATGTTTTCTTCAAATTGTTGCCTTTTAAAATCTGCACTGAGCAGCTTGTTATTTTGGACGTTTGATTATAAGTGACGTAACCGGCTGTGCCGACAAGCATGAGGAGCAGGAGGGATCCGAATCCTGCGTTGCGCCACGTGTGGGAAAAGTTTTGGTCTCATAAAAGCAAACCCTCCTGGGAAACTCGCTGCAGCCAAACAATCCAAAAACATTTTGATGCCTGTTTGGCTGGGACTCGTCATCAGATGTTTTTTCAGTACCACTCGTCGAGAAAGTTAAATTCTTAGTGTGTATTGGTACGTCGAGCTTCCATCATCCAACTCAATAAATCACACTAAACACAGCGACAGATTCTGTTTGCTGTTGACAAAGAAGATTTTACCATTGGATCGATGCTCCGAGTTTAATGTCATATAAATGAAACGGGGGCGGTTTCTGTGGGATAACTCTGCAAAAACAAAATTTTACCAAGTAATTTTAGACTAGTTTCCAGAGCAAATACACTTGAAATAAGTAACTTACAAGTAGCTTTTCAGCATGATATAGGAGCTTATTTTAAGTAAATTATTTCTTAATATTGATGAAAAAGTATTTGTTCCACTGGCAGATTATCTACAAGACATTTTTTCCGTGACGTACGTGAAATACTCTCCCAGTGGAACCAGTGCTTTTTATCAACAATAAAGAATTATTGTCTTCAAACAAGCTCCTGTATCTTGCTGAAAAGTGGCATGTAACTTGTCTTATTTCAACTGTAGTGAAATATTCGCACTCGAAACTAAACCCAGAACTCTTGGTAAGATTTCGTGTTTTTCTCAGACTAACGCAAACATTCATCAGAGAGTGGGCCAAAATGTCGTCTCCCTCTACCCACCATCGCTACTCCCACTCCCACACTTGAAGAAACAAAAACAAATCTCTTTTGTTTTTATTTTTTCATAGTAAAACAAAATCAAGGCCTGCTTGTTAGTTCAGCCTCACAGGGACAGAAGAGAAACTGTTATTCAGCACCAGACTGCAAAACCAACACAAAGAAAACTGCACCATCATAAATCTAATGTCTCCTTCTCTGTATGCTTGACCATCTGAGCATCATCTTATTTGATGACACAACTTTTTACTGCCTCCAGGCTGTCTGCTTCTCCCTTCTGACCAATTATATTTTCTGCATCTTTCCCGCACTGAGGGACTGTTTTGTGTCTGTCTCCCCGACTCATTAATCACAGGTGACGGAGCTAATGATGTCAGCATGATCCAGGTAGCGGACGTTGGCGTGGGGATATCCGGACAGGAGGGCATGCAGGTAAGGGTGAAATAAACCCACGGCAGCTGGAAAAAGCATCAGCGTATAGGAGATATTGTGTCAGAGGTGTGAAGGTGGGAAGAAAAGCAGGAGTGCTTATTTTTTGCGTGTAGTTAAGGACAGGGCTATAAATAGAAATTTTTTTGTTGTGCCGAGTCAGGAGACTGAGTCCTGCATCCTGCAGAGAAGCAGCACAGCTTGCGAGTGCCTCTGTGTCAGATTCAGATCTAAGGTCTCGGAGCATCTTTGCAGTTGGCAGTGAGGGTTTTAAAAAGAAGGTTATGTCTTTCCTCTTGTGGACTCACTCAGAGCAGCGTCCAGTTTCAGAACGGTTGACTCTCACTTCGAGTTTAGATCGGGCCTATAAAACATCCAGCCCGACCCCCAACCCAAATTCATGTCCGAACCTGAGCCCAAAGTAAACCAGACATATTGTCTCGATCACAATTTTACTGCTTTCGCAGGCTGTCGTTGAAGTTAGCAGTGTAACTTCTCCCTTCTTCCATCTCTGTTTTGTTGCTTATTGTAACGGTAGGTGAGTCAAGTTCAAATCATATGGGACGTGTGAATGACAGGAGCGGAGCATGTTCATGCATTGGGCTGCACTTGTTACACTGCGATCACGCCATGCTTACTGTCTTTCATTTCTAAAAGCAAATTAAACGATTAAACATCCAAGCGGATGAGTATTTTCAACAGGTGCTGTACTTATTCTGCAACTTCTGATGTACGTCGGCTTCGCTCAAGGAAATCACAAAGTTCATGCCTCATTTTGCTTCACAAGTCGCAGTAAACTCTGGATATTCCAGCTCGTTTTGAGACACTCGACCGTATTTCCTGCATTAAGTCTAGCACGCATTTACTTTATTCAACCATAACCCAAACCAAACGATGTTTCTGCTGTTAATTGTGCTGTTGACGGGTCATCTTGACGGTTGGGGTTGTCATGAAGCGTTAGTGGTGTCATCTTGGGGGGGTGTGGGGGCTTATATGCTGATGGATGAAACTGACACTTCTCTACTACTGCAGCAGGGGAATCCCAATAGGTGCACAACTTGTTTAAACATTATTGCTTTGGAGAGATTGCACTCATTAAAGATTGATTAAAAAGAGGCAGTTGAGTGGAGTAGGTCCAGACGTGTTGATGATCAGAGAGTCAATCTGGAAGATGCAATTTTATATTTTGTAGATTTGTTCTAAAGAAGTATGTTTTTTTTTTTCCTTCTGGCGTTCTGCAGGCGGTGATGGCGAGCGACTTTGCTCTCCCTCGTTTCCGGTATCTGCAGAAGCTCCTGCTGGTGCACGGACACTGGTGTTACTCTCGGCTGGCAAACATGATCCTGTACTTCTTCTACAAGAATGCCGTAAGCCACTTTGTCTGCTGTGATTGTGTTTGTTTATTTTGCAAAAGGGTCAAAGTTTCTGACATCAGTCCGTCCCGTTGTCGTTTCCATGCAGATGTTTGTAGCCATCATCTTCTGGTATCAGTTCTACTGTGGCTTCTCTGGTTCATCCATGATCGACCAGTGGTATCTCATCTTCTTCAACATGATGTTCTCCGCCTTCCCTCAACTTATCACTGGTACTCTGGACAAAGACGTGTCGGAAGAGACTCTCCAGCGACTACCTCAGCTCTATATGAACGGCCAGAACTCTGAGGTCCGCTCTGACGTTTTCACCCTCAGTTCCCTCAGGTTTTCTGAAAGTTACTTGTAGATTTTTGTATTTTTTTAGACAATTTCCAATGTCAGATTTTTTTTGATTTTTTTTTCTTAAATTTTAATGTCCAAATACAAATAATTCTCAGCATTAAAACTAATTTTCTGTTCTCCCTTAATTATTTATGTTAGGTCAGAAGCGACACGCCAACCTGTGTGAGAAGCGTCACTCGTCATTTTGCAACTGCTGTGTTTCCAATAAATAAGAAACGCAATTAAAATCATGCGATAAGTCATTAAAAATCATAGCATCTCCATATAAGTGAGTAGCTTGGTTAGGATTAGTAACTATTAGTGTGAGTGTTGCCTAGCAATGTAGACCCTTACCTTAACTCTGAGATGAGTTTTTTTTTTTTTTTTTTTTACCACAAATTTAAACATTGTGAATATCTAAGCTAAAACAGAAGAACAACAGGGAGGCTGGGTAACGCTACTCTGGAGGCCAACAACTGATCTTTCAAGAATAACCGAGCTGTAAACCAGACGTTCTTTTTAAGTTCAGTAATTTTATATCCCATTCACAGTTTGTTTTGTTTTGTTATTAAATTGTTTGGCTTCATTTCTGTCACCATGTTTTAACTTTGAGATCTTAAATATTATCTCTCACTGTTAGCCAATCTGGACAGCCTGGATTAGCAAACAGAGATTGTTTATCCTTTTAGTACTGCAGCTAATTACATTTTTTATTTTATTTTTATGTATTAAATTGAGAAATTTATACAAGAACATTGGACATTTTCCTAAAGCAGAAGGCTACAGCAAAGCTGTCACTTCTGAGAGAGGAGCCAACTGACTGTAAATGCTTTATCTTGCAGGAATATAAGCCATACATGTTCTGGATGAACATGATCGATGCCTTCTACCAAAGTCTGGTGTGCTTCTTCGTCCCTTACTTTGTAAGTTTGGGCTTCATTTCCATCAGCTCGTGTCTCTCAGTGTTTTTGCTTGTTGTTGTTTTTACTCGATCATGGTTTCCTCTGTCCACACCCTGACCCTCCCACGAACCGCCCCTCAGGCCTACGCTGACTCAGACGTGGATCTGTTTACGTGGGGAACTCCCATCACTGCCTTAGCTTTATTCACCATCCTGATGCATTTAGGGATCGAGACCAAAACCTGGGTAAGAGAAATGCCTTCAACTCCGATGACCGTCCTTCTTCCGAGTCTTTTCAGCTATTTGCTCTTAGTCACATCCTTACTAGCATCCAGGTTTTGTGTGAAAACAGGTGTGAAACCAGAAATTCAATCAAAAAGACAAGATTTCATAATTGTTCCTGATCCAAAGTCCTGCCTTTTTATTCCATTCTCTTTCTGCTTTACATTTAGCTTAATTCCCTTGGATTCATGTCAAAGTGTCAGATCACAAGCCCCCCGTAAAGGTATTTTAGGTGATGGCAGAAAGCGCTCTTTTCACTTCCCCCCTGCAATGGCTGTGAGCCTGTAATTAATGGCCGTTTTTGTACTGGAGTCAGATTTAATGACTTGTAATTACATACTGTCAGATTAGCCAGTGTGTTCAGCTGCAGCTCAGCAGCCGTGCGTCCACCGCCCACCGTGTGCTGCACGGTGACACACACCCACTGAATCTATGTACAGAAAGCCTTAAACATTCAGTGTTCTTCAGCGGCTATTTTGAATCTGTAAATGAGAATCAATCAGATTCAATTATCGAGACAAGAGAGCATTTTTACATTTTGAAAAAGAGAAAAAGAAAAGCTACATTTTCTGTTCACAGTTTCTGAAGACATTTTCTGTCTTCGTGTAATTTCTGTTGCTGCTCAGACACAAAAGTGACACGCGACCATGTAAGCAAGAGTAGAAACTCTGAATGCACATTTTATTTTAAATAAACTTGAATTCTGAAAAATGATACTGGGAAAATCATTTTCAGCATAACATACTCCTTTAGATTATTAACGATGATTAAGAGATGTGTATTTCTTCTTCTTTTCATTATTATTTTTATCATTAATAACAGTAATTAATAAAACCTGTATTGCATGTCCTGTATCCCAGGACATTCTGCTCTGGGTCCATCACCCAGCACATGTTTTGTTACTAATGGCATCCCATATTTCACTGCATTAGAATCTGTGGCAGCGCTCGCATCACCGTCAGTGACTTCCTGTTCAAAATAAACCAGTTCTCAGGCGATTGCTGCCAGCTGCACTACAAAATGTCCGTAAAAGTGACGCAACATTTTGATTGTATACAAAAAAAAAAAAACTGTTTTGTCGCAGTAATGCTCCTGTTTTTTTGCATTCCCCAAGCCTCTACCCCCCCTGCCTCCCCAACATTGCGCGGCAGTAGCGGAAATACACTCTTCTTCTACTCTTCACACACAAACACATTCATCTTTCCATAACCGACGTCACGTTTTAGTAGTTTTATTGATGGAGGTTTTTAGAGTATTGCTTCTTTTTTATATACTCCCAAATGCCACATCAGAGCCTATCTTCACTTTTAGGTGGCATTACTCTCATATCAGGTAAAGAAATCAAAATGATGAACCTAAAAGACAATTAGCATCTCCTTGTTGACCTCAGTGTGAAAACTGAAACAAGAAATCTGTTAACCAGCTAACTTATTGCCTCACTAACTATCAACTGATTTACAGTTTCAGTAAAATGTATTTGTTCTTTTTTTAGCTTTTTTTTTTTTAAGCCATTGTGTGACTTACACACCCTGATGGTAATCATATACACTCAATTAGATCCCTGATGATGTCTGGTCTTAAAATCAATCTTTTAATTTGTCCTACCGTTTTTTGTTTTTTTTTTTTCCTAAGGAGTTGTTCCACATTTTAGTTCTAAATGAAGATGTTAAAGTATGAATTGATTTTTGTCCTGGTTCATCTCCTCTGCTGACTTGGAATCTGATGAGACGATGTGATTAAATTTTTTCTTTTTTTAATTGAGGCGCATTGATCCCCATTAGATGAGTAATGTTCCTTCTACTTACTCTCTCCCGCCTCTGCAGACCTGGATGAACTGGCTGTCGATAGCCTTCAGTATAGCGGTATTCTTCACCGCCGCTCTGTGCTACAACGCCTCCTGTCCCGTCTGCTACTCCCCTTCCAACTCCTACTGGATCATGCAGAGGCTGCTCCAGGACCCGCTCTTCTACCTGCTGTGCGTCGTCACCCCCGTGTTGGCGCTACTGCCTCGGTACGCTCCAGCTTCCTTTTCCCAGACATCTGAAAAGCTCGTGGAGTCTGAAATATTTATGAAGCGTGCCGTGAAAACGATTTCTGCGATTGATGCCAGATGGTTTTCTTTATCCCTGCGTTCATCGCGGGAGCAGAGCCGAAGTATGTCCTGACGTCTTGACCTGATTTTCTTTTCCAGATATTTCTACAGGGCGTGCCAAGGCACTCTATTTCCGAGCCCGGTCCAGGCCGGGAGGCAGCTAGATAAGCTCCCTTCCGACACTCGCAGGAACATCCTCAGTCTGAGCAGGTTCAAGATGGGGTCGCTGCTGGGTGCCGGACCCAACTTCCTGTCGCTCAGCAAACCCGAAGTTGGTCAGACGAGCACGCCCGGCGCCAGTCAGGACAAGCAGAGCTCTGCGACACAAACTCATAAAGAGAAGGGTCAAACAGCCCCTTCGGAGCTTCCCCGCTCGCACACTCCATCACACTCCAGACACAGCCCTCGGCTTCCCGACAGGCCAAAGCCTCTTTTCACCAAACAGTCGGATGAGACCTTACTGACGCCGGCTCCGAGTTCGCCCGGCCGGGCGGCTTCCGCGCCGCTGGACGCGGAAATGGTCAGCATCCACCTGAACATGCCCACCGACAGAACCTCGCAGTGCGTTACATACACACCCAACTCAGAGGAGGGGCTCCGCTCCGGCTGCGTCGTCGAGCCGCCACACAGGACTGTCCAGGCGGCAGAACGGGCGCCACACCCTTCCTTATGATGTCTCACCTTACAACTCCTGGCAAAAACTTAGGGAGCCACTAGTCTGTGGGGGGGAAGAGCTCAGTCGGTCTGTTTTACTTTGTAAACGTTACAAAAACACCTAAAACTATTTCATTGAACAGCTGAACTCTGGTGAGAAAACTTCAAAAACCTGTAAGTTGTGTTTAACAGTGCTTTTTTTTTAAATCCAGATCAAACAGAGAGAAAAAAATGAACCAAAGAAAAAACCTCACTTGGAAAAAAATTGATCAACCAACTTCCACTATTATATAGAATAAGCTTTATGGACACTTAAAGCATCTATTGCAATTTTTCTAGCAAAATTTCTATCTCCATTATTTAGTTTTTCACTTTTTCAACATTAAAATAAAAATAAATTTTTATTTTCTTGTTATATCTCTTATTCTTATTTTGAGACAAACTCAGAATTATAACATGGTTGCTATATTACCTGTCTTTAGCATCTTTTGTTAGCATTTGGAATTGCAAAAATGACTAAAATGGCAGTCTCCATTCTGTTTTAGAATCTAGATTCTTAACTTTAATTTTTTTAAATTCCAAGCTGTCATAAATACATTTTTATTCTTCATTCTTAGTTTTTAATCACTCCTGACACCAAAATGGCTTGCGTCCTCACTCAGTCACCACTTCCACAGCAAAGAGTGGTTACACTCTGGCTACACTTAGTTTCTCCATCTTCTTAATCTTAAAAAAAAAAAGTGGGATGATTTATAGGATTTTTCTAAAAAAAAAAATTTTAGGCACGTTTTATGACATTAAATTATAGCTTTGCTTCATATCTGTATTTTTTTATTATTATTATTTTGCTCCAAACGACTGACTGATCGTCCTCACAGAGCAGTACATCCATATTTTTTTGGCAGGAGTTGTATGTTACTCATTCTCAGTTTGCACAATAGTTTTTTGTTTGTTTTTTATTTTTTTCAATCAGTTTTATTGTTTTCTTTTTATACTATTATTTCTTTAAAACATATGCAGAAAGGTACTTTATTTTGTTTTTCCATGTAGAGTTCATGTAAATGTTGCTTTAAAGATTTGGGAGAGGAAAGAACTGGAAAATCTCCTTTAAAAAAAAAAACAAAAAAAACACAACTCAGCTTTATTCCTGGAAAGTTGTGACTTCTCAAAGTCATGCGTCTCGTCGTTGTCGATCAGATTCTGTTGTGCAGGGTCAGAACCGAGACGTTCCACCGTCAGCTCAGCCGGCGGGGGCATTAAAACCTGGAACACACATCGCAGTGGCCTTGAATCCTCGCTGCAATGACTTCCAAGGACGGAAGTTTTAAGAGAAATCTCCTGCTTTTTGGTTTGTTTAACCCAGGTAGTGGCCTCACCGCTGAACCAGTTTGTCCATTCTGAAAGCAAAAGCATCTTTATAGCTGCCGTGTTGCACAGTAAATTACACTGAATTGTGATTTTTTTTTCCTCCTCAGCTGCACATTCAAGATATAATTTTTCTCTTGTGAGAGTTCACAACAGATCTTTCATTTCAGTCTGTGTACATAGACTTTCCCGGGTGTTTTTTTTTGTGCGTGTGTGGTGAGTGTCCGTATTTTGTACAGATATATATACACACACATACACACACATATATATATATATATATATATATATATATATATTTTTTTTTTTTTTTTTTTTTTTTTTTTTTGTTTGTTTTTTGGAGCCGATAGGTTTTAGTTTAAAGAGTAAAAAGTTTGTTGCATTGTTTTGTTTTTAATCCAACCGTTTTGAATTTCAGGACATAAGTAGAGAAATAATCATTCATTTTCTTTTTCTGTTTTTCAAAAGACCAAATTTGATCCCGTGGAGCTAACCACAGAACACCAGCACGAAAGGGAGGTGGATGAGGCCTTGTGTGTTTCAAATGCCTTTTCTTTTCTTTTTTTCTTAACTTCCTGGCTGATTTCAATTAAAAGAAAAGTGTTTTTTTTTTAATGGAGCGTTTATTAACATTCTCGTCAAAAGCTCAGGAATTATGCAACTCCTATAGTTGTCTGTTTTAGTCTGGCGTTTGGATTGAAAAGCCGATTTCTTTCTTTTTTTTTTTTTTTTTTGTTCTGCCAAAGAAAAAAACTTTTTACCTTCTTGAACACTCCTTTTTTCCTGGATACAAAAGCGAGAGTTATTTTGGCATTTGTCAGTGAAAATGTCTCTACAATATAGCTGCTCCAAGCCAAGTAATTTGAATGCAAGACATTGCCAAGATACCAAGGTGCTGTCACTGCCACAAGTAGCCATGTTGTCCGAAATTATTTGTTTTGCTCTGACTTTACAAATGTTGAGCTTTAAGTCTGGTTTAATAAGTTTGTTAGCTAAAGCTGAGCTATTGAAGTGTTTAATTGCCAGCGGTGACATGGTGAATTCAGAAGATATTAAAATGAGCAAGTGTCTCATTTTAGCAAGCGTTTAATGAGTGTTTTGCCGCCTTAACGAGAAATCTTATCGTTTAAAGCGATGTTTGAGGCTGGAGAGACAAAGGCTAGCCCCTAACCTTGTTACTATCTAGCTATAATGAGAGCTAGCATGGAAACTGTCTCTTAAAGCTAAATTGGGTTGGGGGTTTTTTGTGTTTTTTTACCATTATTTTATTGTTAAAAATCCATGCAACTATCTGGTTACTCATTTCAGTGTGAGGTAAACTCTGCTAAGTGAACCCTTTAGTGAACACTTTTTAATAGGCAGGCTTTCTGTAGCTCTAATCACAGGTTAGCATCCAGTCTTTAGTGCTAAGCTAGCTGTTTTCTAACTGCTAGCTGATACTCAGCAGGCAAACAGAACAAAGTTCAAGCTAGCAATCAGTTTTCTTAGCAGAGATATTTTCTAGGGATAGAGAAGTCTTCAGAAGCAGATTTTAACCACCAGCATGGTGTTAAGAGAGGTTGGAAGCTGCATTTACTTTTGTTCTGCCCAAAGATAAAGAGGCATCCGAGGCCACATTAATGCAAACCAGTAAAACCTCCAATGAGTCACTGCACTTCACCCAAAAATTATCTGGTATTTAACTGCTGGAAAATAACAAAATTTAGTTGTTGTTTTTTTAACCAAATGGGACATATTAATTAGTGGGATTTTGAGCCTCTGGGAGGCAGCTTTTCTTCCCAGTCTAAGCTAAGCTAAGCCAAATCGACCCTTATGGTTCTTCAACTTTATTATTGTTGAAGCAAGTGTGCAGATATAAAACTATTCTCTTGAAGCACAGCACAGAGCCAATTTATTGCTCCTTAGCATGTTCTTACTTGAAGGGCCTCATGAGAACTTCTGTCACATGCTGGGTTTGTGTTCAGCTAGCCAAGTGTGTTTCTGCCAGTGTTTCGCTATAAACCAAATAAATCCCCAGTGCTGAACCGTCTTTCCTATTGAGATTCCTTCAACATTTGTATTTGCACTTTAAAGCATTTCATCTGACCTGTCATTGAGAATTTCTGTTGCACATGTTCATTCACACAATGTTGCAATGCAATATGCAAAAAGGAACGGGAGGTATTATGCTCAACTAACACTATCTATTTTTATTCTTCTTTTTGTTTTTAAAGTGCGCAGAAACCAATGGGAAATTGACCAAACTGAACTTTTTGCTGGGAAGAATTGCATTTACCTTTAACTGTGTTCAGTGCATTTTTTTAAGCAAACCTAATACCAAAAATAATTTATATCTACCTTGTTTTTCTTCGTAATAGAAAGTGCCTCGACACTGGATAAGAAATTGCTGGATCTGTTTGATTAAATATGATTGAGCATGTTTTGGGGTTTTTTTTGTCTGTTTGTTTTTTTTCGTATTTTGTACAGATATTTATGAGGATGAGTGGCATCTTTGCCCCCGACTTTCCCCCGCCGCCCCTCTTGTTTTCATTGCCTTTGCACACAAATTCCTTCTCTGGCATGTTGTTTGGTTTGAGACTCGTCAGTCTGTTTGCTGTGTTTCATCTGTTCTGTTCGTCCCGTACCCTCTGTGTGCCAGAAAGAAGCTCCATCATGTTCTGCTGCATTCCGTGGTGCTGATTTCCACTTAATACAACATTGAGCTTTTGCACAACAGATATCCATGAGTTATATGTGATAATTGAGCTTTTTGGGGGTGTTGGGGGATCTTCCACTTTTATTCCTTTGTAATAATACCAAGTTCTGGTAAGTAAAAGGTTGGCGAGGAATCCTGAATCGCTTCAGCTCAGTTAAGAATGTGGAAAACTGCACAGGGTTCAGTTCCACAGTTTTATGTCAGGTTCATGTTGTTTTTAGTTGTTCCAAATGTTCTGTGTATGGCTGCTTGTGATCAAAATAAAACTGCAAGAATAAAGTATAATTTTTACAAAGTTACTTTTTCTTAGACTGCAAATCTCTTTTTTTATAGCAAAGTGTAACCCCCTCACTAGGCTGCACACTTATTTTAGTGCGTTTCTGTGATAATAAACCTGTCAAAATGCATACGGAAGTCATTTTATGTCAAAAATGACTGGAAAAAAATAAAAAAGTTTTTTTGCAAAAAAAAAAAAAAAGCAACTTAGGCCATTATTTTAGGAAGGTAATATTTCAGAACACAGTTTTGGATTATGCATTATAGCAGTGGAGAGTAATGTGAAATTATACAATGTATAATTTATTGTTGTATGAATTACAATAATAATTATTGTAAATTACAATAATTTATTGTAATTTACAATAAATTATTGTAAATAATTATTGTAAATTAATTATTTATTGTAATTTATTATTTACAATAATAAATTAGTGCAGGTGCGTCACAACAAATTCAATCATTTTCTTTCAAAAAGCCTGGGAATCAGCCATCCAACTTTAAATGTATTTTATTAAAGGGGCAGCATCATGTATATTCAGTTTTGTAACACAATCAAATAACTATGTTACCTTCAATTGTTCTAAAAATGGTACATATTTGTCAAATATTACTTTTCCTAATTCAAGTTGGGCCTCTGTCTCTTTAAAAATCGCTGCTCATTCTGAATCTCCGCCTTCAGGAAGTCATCACCACATCTCTCTAACGATTATTTTTTTTAGGTTTTTTTTTTCACCTTTGCTGAGAATCAGCTCCTATAATGAGCTCAGCAGATGCTCAGTTCCTCCAGGTGTTTGCTAATTGCTAGTGGCTAGTCTGAAGGAGCTGAGGGGTGGTGTCAGGGTTTTTTTTTTTTTTTTTTGGTCCACCCTGCATATCAAAAAAAACAACAACAAAAAACAGACTGCACTGCAAACAAAGCAGACAGGAGTTCACACAGGCACAGCTTGACCTTTCACCCCTAAGACCAGTGCTGGAATTATTGTCAACTTCCTTCTACCGCTGATCTCCATCTCCTTCACAGCCCGATTGCAAACTAAATTAATCGTCTTTTTCAACTTTTTCCATTCACTTTTTGTTGTTGTTCACTCCTCAGCCTGCAGGGCATAAAACTCCCAGCAGTGATCTATTTCCAGGGTTTCCTTCCTCCCTACATCCCGTGCAGCATTGCGGGACAACCAAACTTGCAGTAAAGAGTGATTTTATTCCTCGTCAACCAACTCCACCTCACACCTCGCTCAGATGTTAGACTTACTTTGACTTGACCAAATGTAAACGGCGCGCGCGCCCGGGCCCGGTCGCCGCGGTCAGAGGGATTTGTTTCTGGAAAACACTGAGGAGAGTTTGGACTTTTTTTCTGTCAGCCCACCCGTGTGCTGGGTGAGGCTCCCAGTTGTTAAAAACGATTCATTTGGGGAATTGCACCGATGACTCGTCCAGAAGGTCACGGAAGAACCCAGGGCCCCGGACTGAAGTAAAGTGGGGGTAAACCAAAAAAGAAAAGAAAAAAAAAGAAGTGGTTGCATGTGTCTACAGCGACTTCTAGTGTTCACAATGAAAACTGCAGCCACGGTTTACACATTTATATGTGGAGACTCAAACCGAGGATAGAGTATTAACAATAATACAATATTAATAACGTAATAATAGCACAGTTATATGAGAATAATCTCCACTTTACTAAAGCAATTTTACAGTGAACTAAGCACACAAAAATGAAATAAACCAAATAGTCTTGAGTTTTTTGTTTTTTGTCTGTTTTATTGTCCAGAAAAAAAATATAGGGCTTGCTACATTCACACAAGTCACTTTTTAAATAATTTAATGGATCGTGTCCTGATTGGTTCTCTTTCAAATAAATCAAAGCTGTATGAATTAAACTTTTCGTTCCTGGCCCTTTAAATGCGCTTTACTTGAGGTGCTCGTTTCGTTTCGGGTGTTTCCGTCACTTCCGACAGAGAGTCGTGCGCGATCAATTGCGGCGCGTGGAGGTGAGAGGAGCGAGCGAGCGTGCGTGACGTTCGACGGCGTCGCGCTGCATGCCGGGATACAGCTCGTTCTTGTTTACAAGATGACGGAGAAAACCGCTACACCCTGACTTAAACACGGAACAACAAGTCCACTCTGTGACGCTGGCACACCCGAGCCGTGAACACGCGTGTAAAAACAACAACAACAAAAAAAAACACGAGTGGTTTTCCTGAAACGCGAGCCCACGGAGCTGTCAGTCTGCCACGCCAGATATTTTTATTTTTTTTTTTGCACCGTCACTATCTGTCAAATCACAGCAGGTTGGTTGAAGTTCCGCAGGTTCTGTGTCGTTTCCTTCGTTTAGATCAGGATTAGCCTGTAATAGAAACGAAGCTCTACTTCCTTTTAAACTAGTGCTGAGAAACTTTGCTTGTCTCTTCCTCTTCTGTTAGTTGCTGTAATTTAGGTCTAAAGGTCGACAGCTCATTTATCACAGCCAGTTGATTTCAATAGCATGTGTGACTTGTTGTCTTCCCTGTGATTGTTTTTGGGTGTCATCTCGGGCCTGTGTAACTTCGTAACTAAGGGGATTTTGTCCCTGTCAGAGAAAAGACACAATCATTTTGCTGTGAAATGTCCTTGCCAGTTAAATCCCTTCACGCCACAGCAATATTCACACTTTCAGTGCTTGTGTGATAAACATTTTGTAGAATCACCCTCTGCTTCAATGGGGTCGGCTTTGTCCTTCTGACCCAGGCTTCTTTTTAATGCTGCCTGAATAGGTTGAGGCTCGCAGGTGTTACTTTGTGCCTTATACACTGTATTTCTATTGGACTTAAAGGGAAATATTGCAGCACCTTCTCCTCTGGTTCTGCTGCTGTCTTTGGTTCTGTTGGTAACCCAGTTTCACTTCCAACTGTTGGACTGATTTGCTGTGATTTGATTTAATTGTGTTGTGCAGTTTTGCCAATCGTTTCTACTTGGGTCTCAGGGTAAATTTGTTGAGACGTCCACTTTCTTAAATGTTTTCCACATTTGGGGTAAACATTCTCGCTGAAGAATTGCCTCACACAGGCTAAAATTTCAATCATTTCGCCTTAGATATTTTCTCTGCTTGATGAAGGCTATGGATTTAAACCCTTTCCCATGAACACAGGATGTGTCTTTCGACATGGTTGTTTCAGAAACAAGAAGCTACTTATTGCATCAGTTGGGGTTGAATAACGTTTTGCCAGCTGACAGGCAGGACTCGTCCAATAGGAGGCTCCGTACCTGTTTGCTAAGTTACATCCAGGTGGATGTTTTTTGGGGGCCAGGCCACCAAATAAAGTCACTGCTGATGTTTTTCCTGGACGTTGTGTTAAACACACACAGGTCTACATTATCATCCACATGTAATTTAGTGGGACCTGGCTGATGCTTTCTTGTCTTCTTTGGCAGCTGAAACATTTTTTCCCTGCACCTTTAGGCAACATATAGGATATTAATATGCATCATTAATAGCTCATGCATCTTCTTACTCTTCTGTAAGTATGGCTTGAAGGGCTGCTGCTCAACAGAGTAGCAAATTAAATCTTCAGGTTTAATCGAGAAAAGCCTGGTCAATTAATACAGTTTGGGGGTGGAGTAAATATATTTTTAAAAATGTGCATCAAATAATCGGAATTTATACTTTTGCCTGTCGTTCTTTCAGCTGACTGTCCTCCGGCCTGCAGAGAGGAGTCTCAATCCAGCCGAATGTAAGTCTCCTCTGACATGAATCCACAATTTTTCTGTTTGTTTCTAACAGACATGTTTTCTCGTTTTCTCATATAATGCTGAATAGACGAGGTATTTGTTTCTAACTGGTATCTCACTTTATTTAATCCGGAAATATTCTTTTTACGCGCTCTCTTACAAGAAAGCGAGGTATGCAATGGTTTTACAAAAATACAGATTTGAACCTTTCTTAAATTTTATTAAGGTAATGCTCTGACCCCTATCTGGTAAGCTGCAGGCTGTAGGCTGGCTGCCTATGCAAGTACATACTTTAAGACCATAAAAACAATGCTATATTTATTACTGGTTTACTGTGAGAACATCCTGGTGGCCCTCTGCCTACTGCAAAATCAGTGTTTTGTGTATTTAAATTATAGGCCTGTCACCATAACACATTTTGCTGGATGATAAATTCTCCCAGAAGTTATTGTGATGAACAGTTCTGCTGTTTTTCCAGAGCATCTTCAAGAAATATAACGGTTATGGCATAACAAAGCAACAACACACTCTCAAATCTCATTAAACTTTAAATTCTAGTGAACATTTAACACTGGAACTGGAAGACGTTTTAACTATCCATAATAAATAAACAGCAGAAGCAACAAATAAAATGTATTGTGAAGTCTCTGTAAACAAAATAGCCTAGAATAGCCTAGTCAAAGTCCAGACCTAATTCAGTTGGGAGTTGTGTTAGAACTGAACTGATGGTCTCCGTTCAGTCTTACGGAGTTTGAGCTATTTTGCAAAGAATTGGTAAAAATTTCTAACTGGATGCAAATGCAAGTATTTTTAAGGTCATCTTCAAAAACAAATGAAAAAAACCCCAAAATGTCTTATTTTTCTTCATCTTCATGATCAGTACATGGTGTTCTGTTACATACAACTCAAATGAAACACACTGAGGTTTGCAAAATGTAGCATATTCAAGGAGGATGATCATGTTTGAAACGCGTACATTGCTTATATTGTAAATAATTCTTCCTTGTTTGTGTGTTTCTCACAGGAACAGAGCGACTGCAAAGCGGTTAATTGAACGCTACTTTCAACAGTTGACTCAAGGCTGTGGAAATAGCAACTGCACCAATGAGTTTTGTGCCTCTTGTTCTGCTTGTCAACCTCTGGGCAACAACGCAGCAGCTGCTAAAGCACTGGAACTGTTCAAGGTTAACGCCAAACTCTGTGACTATTACCCCTCCGTCGAGTCCAGGTCTGACGAAAACTCTCGGCTGGGGCGTGAGATGAGCACCGAGGAATTCTCAGGTACTTTCAAAGCAGACTATGGGTTGTCGCAGATGTATGGTTTAAGTCGGTTTTAACGGTTTGGTTTCCGATTGCAGATGTTCACTACCTCACAGAGCACACCGTGTGTAGGATACTGAGTGTCTGCGAGGAAGAAGGGAACTACTCTGCTCTCGTCCGTGTCATTGGCAGGATATTCTCCAACGCGGACGCTCTCATGAAGAGTTTCCGGAAGGAAGAACCAAGTGCCGCTGTCAAAACCCTCAATTCTCTCAAGTCGAAAGACGAAGAGAAACGGAGCGACCAGTCGTCAGAGAACAATCTCTCCTCCTCTGCTTCCTCGCCCGACGAAACTCCAAACGGAATCCCCAACTCCTTTGAGCCTTCGGTAGACATCGACGCAGTTCGAAGGGTCTACGACAAACTCCTGTCCGTCGACCAGGTGGAGTCTGCCCTGGTCAACGCCCTCATTTACCTCACTCCAAACGTGGAACTTGACCTGGAATATCTTGATGTGTACGAAGCAAACCCAGATTATCTGAATATTTTCATCATAGTGATGGAGAACAGAAACCTTCACAGCCCGGAGTACCTTGAGGTGGCGTTACCTTTGTTCTGCAAGGCGATGAGCAAGCTGCCGCTCATGGCCCTCGCTCGCCTGTCCAAGCTGTGGTCGACGTTCGGCCTTCCGCACGTCCGCCGCATGATGGAGACCTTCCAGCAGCTCATCACCTTCACAGTCGTCAGTAATGAATATGGCGCGGAAAACCTGATAAACGACGACGAGACGGTGGTGGCTGCCACCAAGTGCTTGAGGGTTGTCTTCTACGCAAGCATCCTCGGCGGGGAGGTGGACGGCGAGCACAACGAGGAGGAGGACGACGAAGACGCCGAGTCGGACGAGCTGACGCTGCACGAGCTGCTGGGCGAAGACCGGCTCTATAAGAAGGGTCCCCGGGTCGACCCTCTGGAGAAGGAGCTGAGCGTCCGTCCTGTAGACAGCGTCAAACCCCTCATACCGTTTGAGGATTTTGTCAATGAATCGGTGAACGAAGTGATTGAAATGGACAAAGATTTTACCTTCTTCAAAGTCAACGCGGAAACCAAGTTTTCCTTCCAGACCTGCCCTTTCATCCTCAGCGTCATCACCAAGAGCCAGGGGCTGTATTACGACAACAGGATCCGGATGTACAGCGAGAGGCGCCTCACTGCCCTCTACAGTATGGTACAGGGCCAGCAGCCAAACCCCTATCTGAAGCTCAAAGTGCGTCGAGACCACATCATCGACGACGCCCTCGTCAGAGTGAGTCTCGGGGCGTTGGAGGTGTCGGTTTGCGTCGGATATAACGTGGTTGGAGCCGTCCCAGCGAGTGAATAACATTTTATTTCTTGCAGCTGGAAATGATCTCCATGGAGAACCCGTCAGACCTGAAGAAGCAGCTGTACGTTGAGTTCGAGGGCGAACAAGGCGTAGACGAAGGAGGAGTGTCCAAAGAGTTCTTCCAATTGGTTTTGGAGGAAATCTTTAATCTGGACATCGGTTAGGCTTGCAACAATGTTTTGTATTAAAAGCTAAATGCCTGCGTTTTGCAACTGTTGAGTTTTGTTCACGTTGTAGAAATCGTCAAAAACTTACATTCACTTGCTTGTAAATGACTTTCTCAACAGGGATGTTCACCTACGACAATGACACCAAGCTTTTCTGGTTCAACTCGTCCTCGTTGGAGAACGAAGCGCAGTACACACTTATTGGGATCGTTCTGGGGCTCGCCATTTACAACAACTGCATCCTGGACGTTCATTTCCCCATGGTTGTCTACAGGAAGCTGATGGGCAAGAAAGGGACCTACTTGGATCTGTCAGACTCACATCCAGTACGCCAACTTTTTCTATATGATGTTACATGTTCATGTGGATGTGTTGACATTTTACAGAGAGGGTTCCTGTAGGGCTGGAAGCTTCCCTTTCTTCCTTCCTTGTACCCAGTATTTATTCTTACTTTATGTTGTGCCCTTCTGCTCTTTCTGTCTTTCCTTTTCTTTGTTTCCTTGCTATTCTTTTTTGCTACTTTCTTTTTAGCCCTTCTTCTTTCCTTCATCCTTTTGTCCTTCCTTTCTCCCTCCCTTTCCTTCCTTCTTTTCTTTCCTTCGCTTTCCTTCCTTGTATTCTACCTCTTCACTCCTTGTGTCATTCCTTCCTCACTACCTTCTTTTCGTCCTTGTGTCCTACTTCTAGTTTTTCCTTTCGTCCACCTTTCCTTCTTTTCTTACTTCCTTCATTGCTTTCATCCCTCCTTCTTTCTTTCCTGCTTCCTTCCTTCCAGCTTCTGTTTTCCCAGGTCGGATATTTAAAGCCTGATTATTTATGTAAGAATATCAGGGAAAGCTAATGTAAAAGGGATGGAAGTCTGCAATTTGAGTTTGAAAATGTCAGGAATTTTTGCATAAAAAATGTGAATTACCCCTCTGAAGAGAAAATGCAGATCTTCTCTAGTTTCTGCTCTCATGTTCCTGCTGTGGCAGGTTCTCTACCAAAGTCTGAAGGAGGTGCTGGAGTACAGCGGCAGCCTGGAGGAGGACATGATGCTCACCTTCCAAATATCGCACACGGACCTTTTTGGAAACCCCGTACTGTACGACCTGAAGGAGAAGGGGGACCAGATCCCCGTTACCAAGGAGAACAGACAGGTGAGCTGTGATTGCGGCCAACACTTTGTTTACATTTTTTATATATATATGGTTGTAAGCCTCAGTTTAGAAAACCACATGATGTAAATTCCTAATTTTATGCTGGTTGAATGAATTACTTTCAAGTGGGGAGTCATTTCCAGTTGACTTCTTTAAAGTCTGAAAAGATCAGACTTTAAAGAAATGAATCCTACAGATTCAGTTTGGTTACAACATTATTCCCAGATCTAAATCCTGACTTAAAGCTTTTGGAATGAAGACTCTGGTTTTACGTCTCGTTACACAGATATAAAAACATGCTGGTTCCTCCTTTGACTTGGGTATGTTTCAAAATGACAAAAACAGGAATAACTAAATGAAATGACACAGAAGCTCAGCTGAACACCCTGTACAGGACAACAACCCCACACCAACTTGTCATTTCAAGAAAGACGACAAAACTACAATGAAATGTTTGAACTTTTTGAAAATGTTCTTTGTGTGTGCGTGTGTGTGTGTAATACACAGGAATTTGTTCATCTGTATGCAGACTACATCCTGAACAAAAGTGTGGAGAGCCAATTCAAAGCCTTTAAGAAAGGTTTCCTGATGGTGACAAACGAGTCGCCGCTCAAATACTTGTTTAGACCAGAGGAAGTCGAGCTTCTGATCTGTGGGAGCAGGGTGAGAAAAATCAAAAATCAGCAACCTCCAGTTTTCATTTTGCAATGAATTGAACCTAAGTAGAAAACAAAATAACTCTTTTTGTGACGAGTTTTATGCAGTTTAGAAAATCTAATGTCTGGAATTTAAATGAAAACTTAGTGAGTGTTTTTTTTTTCTTCATAAAATTAGATTTAGAAGTATAGCAGAGTAAAGTTATTGATTAACTTTACAAACAAGTTTTTGTATCCTAAGTGTTTGGCAATAATGGACAGACATTCCTCTCATAAAACTGCATCCTTTAATCTCAAGAAAAGATTAAAAAGTATTAAGAATTGATCGTATAAATTCTCTCTTTTTTCCTTAGAAACTTGACTTTGAAGCACTTGAAAAGACAACAGAATATGACGGAGGTTACACTAAGGATAGTCAAATTATCAAGTAAGTCTATTCACTGCCTTTAAATGCTATCTCGGTTATAAATGTTTTAATGTGGTTTTATTGAAGACGCTGAAAAAATAAGGGATTATGGAAACTTGATTTTGTTTTTTTATCATTTTGCACTAACGGGAGCTTTTGAGTAAGAATATAACAATGTTTTCCGATAAGATTCAGATACTGTTTTGTGAACTGACGGTCTGATGGTCATTTCCTTCTAGTTTCTAATTCCTACAGGTACCAACATTAAAGTGGAGATATAGGCCATAAAGCCATGGTGAAGATTAGCCTTTTAACGCACTGAGAACTATGAAAACTTGAGTCTAGAAATATCTTATTTTTTACATGCGGAATGCAAAGGAATCCTGAATTGATGTTTGTTTTTGGCTGCAGAGACTTCTGGGAAACCATCCACTCTTTCGGAGAGGAGCAGAAGCGACTTTTTCTCCAGTTCACCACAGGAACAGACAGAGCTCCAGTCGGAGGTCTCGGTAAACTAAAGATGATCATCGCGAAGAACGGCTCTGATTCGGACAGGTACAACTGGCGCAGGCGACTTCCCGTTGAATTTCAACACACTCGACTCAAATGAACTTTTAGTTTTTGTCGCGGTTCATTGCAGGCTACCGACCTCCCACACCTGCTTCAACGCTCTGCTGCTCCCTGAATACTCCTCCAAGGACAAACTGAAAGAGAGACTCCTCAAGGCCATCACTTACGCCAAAGGTTTTGGAATGCTGTGACGGACTTCCAAAGAGAGTTTTCCGTCTGTGTGGGATAGAAACGACAAAAAAAAAAAAAAAAAAAAAAAAGGGAATACCACCAAAAAAACAACAAACAAACAAAATGCTGCAATAATAATTCTGTGCCTAATCAGTCTCTCACAGACAAACTCCACTGTTGGCCTTCCACGCTGAGCCCTCACTTGCTTTGTAACCTCGTCACTTGTGTAGGCATTAGAAATCCCAAATAAGTTCAGCCTTCTCCCATCCCCACATGCCCTGGTTCTGAAAAGGCGAAAGCCCGTTTGTGAAACTGTGAAAGTGCGCTCACGTGTAGCACATAAAGTGTATTTATGACGTTAGTTTGACTTCTGATGCCTCTGACGTTTTTGGAAATGTAGCAGTATTTAGTCCTCACTGGGCCTGACGGTGCTCCTTGGCCGCGATTGTCAGTTTAGTAGACTGAGGTGAAGAAGCCTTATATATTACCTGCTCTCTGACCTTCAGTCCATCTTACGATTGAAAGCTTTGTGCTGTGCCTCCTGTAGCGGATATGGACTGAATATCGTTTGCTGTGATCCTGATGTGATGGTGTTGGCTGCGTGTTTTAAAGGGGCAGTGTTATGCAAAATTGGCTTTTTGTTGTGGTTTTACATCATGTTATAATGTTATTCCCTCATCAGAAACACACCTGGAGTGTTGCTTTTTGCTTAATGCTTGTTTGAGTAATCATTGAATCTCCCACGGCAACCGTTGTGGATGCATAAACACTTGTTCTCACCTAGCGCCACATTTTCCACTCCTTTCAGCTCCTTCAGACTAGTGGCAATAGCACTAGTCTGAAGTGCTCCTAGGGACGGCTGTAAGCTGCTTAATGGAGAAACGTTTTGATAACTTCCTGAATGAAGGCTGAGTTTCAAAAAGAACAGGAGCTTCTTAAAGAGACAGAGGCCCAATATCAAGGTTTTAATTGCAAAGTGACATTTCTTTCAAGTCATGTTTGTTATATGGTATATAACATTTTTATAACTGGCAGTAACGTAGTTACTCAATTGTGCTGTAAAATGGCATCACGTGCCTGGAAAGTACATAATGCTGTCCCTTTAAAATTACTTGCCGATTGTTTTAGTGTGTCAGATCTTTTAAAAAACGCGTCTCTTGGCTCGTTTCCTACGAGTTACTGATTTGCACACTTGCCAAATGTGCAAGGCCTGTTTAAGGGAAACGGCCACAAAAAGTGTTCGATTTGTATCTCAGGTATGTAAAGAATTTGCAGAAAATGTGAAAACCCTTCTGTAAACTCTCCAATATGCAAGGTAAATAAAGGTGAGAAATTGTAGTTTTGTTGTAAATTCCTGTATTGGCATGGTATAAAAATAACTGTGGCAAAGTCACAGATTTCTTTTCCGTGCCAGGACGTCACGCCAGTGCTAACATCTCTGCAGTGATATTACGCAGTGTCGTGTTGCGCTGAAGATTCACATCCTGGAGTCTTGAACTGGCCACAACTGATCACAGCTCAGCCTACTTTCTGGTTCATGCAGCTATTAACGATTTGACCACACGGGGCGCTCAAAACATCCCCGGCTGGTTAAAAAATGGCCAAAATAAATAAGTAAAACAAAATGGCAACTTCAACTCTATTGAGTAAAGCGTGCACTGTGACAAAACGTTATACGGTTCAAAACGTGACATTGAAAACTGTGCTAGGACTGGACGTTTCCTAAAATGCTTTTCATTTTCTAAATGTTTATACCCATGTAGCATGTTTTTTTCATAGACCAACAATTTTAGCTGGATAGGAACCAGTGTGTTAAGACAGTAATATGCATAAGCAGCTAGTTACCATCCATCGGAAATTAGTTGAACGTGATCTGTTTTCAAAGGAAGTTTGACATTTTTCTTTTTCACACATAGACAAAGAGGTTATTCAATATGAACATTTTATTTGCGTGTAACGTTCATATTTGTAAGAGTACGCTGACAGTAACATATAAACAGTACTGGCTTTTTAAAATGTTGACATTTTTATACAGTAAACAGTGCAGCTTAAGAAGAGCAATACATTTACCTGAATAATCTGAATTCTTATCAGGGGGGAAAAAGTCATCCTAAGGCTATGAAAAGCCAATTTTTGGCATAAACAAGTGCTTCCTCTCAACACACTCAAATTGTTTGAAGACGACAAAAGTAGCAGTTAATCAGAAAGCACAAAAAAAGACTCTCTGCATTCACTGTACACAGTTTGACACATAATGTGATGATGATAATAAACACAACGTACAAATAGTTAAAAATGTGGGCATTTATATGACATAAAAGAGAATCACTTTCACAGTTCTCCAGTGATGGTTTTTTTGATTGTTTTTTTTTCACTGGACCTTTTTGTCTTTGTCAGCCACCACTTCGTCGAGGTCCTCCGGTTTCACGGATTTGACTTTTTCCTCCATCTGAGTGACCCTCTGCTTCAGCCGTGCCTGGGTGGAGGTAAATTCTGCCATCAGCTGAGCAAACTTGGTCTGCATCAGATCCAGGTTGCCCTGCAGTTTCACAATCTTCTCGTCCAGGTCTTTGGGGTCCGCGCCCGCATTCGCCACCGCCTCGTCGATTAGGTTGTCTTTCATCAGGATGGCTTTGCCCTTTTCCTCCAGAGCTTTCTTGGCATCCGGATACTCGGTGAGCGCCTCCATCAAGTCATCTTTGGACAAGGCGAAGAGATCGGAGTAACCCACACTTCGGATGTTGGCCGTTCGTCGGTTACCGGCTTTACTCCCCTTGATGCCTAAGATACTGATTTCTCCAAAGTATGCCCCGTCGCTGAGCACCACAAACTGAGTGACTCCGTCATCAGCCACCACTGCCAGCTTTCCTTCCTTTATGATGTACATCTCCCTGCCAATATCCCCTTTCTTACAGATGTAATCTCCAGGACTGAACACCTGTGGCTGCAGCTTGAGCACCAACTCGATCAACAGACCAGCTTCACAGTCCTGGAAAATTCGCACTTTCTTTAGCGTATCCAAATGGACGTTGATGGCGATCTCCGCCTTGAGCTTGTCCGGGAGAGTTTTCAAAACTTCTTTCTCGTCGCAGGTCTTCTTTTCAGTCCAAAGATAGTCAAACCATTTGATCACTCTGGCCTCCAAGTCTCTGGTGACTTTTCGAAACTGCATGTACTGCTTTATGGAGTCGATCTTTGCCTGAAACTCGGCACGAGAGGCATTCATGTTTGAGATCATGGCACCAACGTTACCGACAATACTAGCAAAGATTAGCACACCGGTGAGAAAGTCCCCAATGACAAAGAGGAATTCAACGTCTTTCACTGGTGCTGGGGTTTCTCCGATGGTGGTGAGGGTGAGTGTCGACCAGTATAGGGAGTAGATGTACTTTCGTGCCAAGCGACCGTGCTCTGGGTGACTGATGTTGGGATAGACCCACGTGTCGGATCCAAAGCCAATGCTTTTCGAAATGGAAAAGAAAACACAAGCATTCCAGTGGATGATGATGAGGATGTAAAGCACGAGATTGCTGATACGAAACATGTTTGGGAAGCTGGTTCTCGTCTCGGTGCGCTCAAAGAACTCAAAGAGCCTCTGGATTTTGCAAAGACGGTTGAAACGAAACTCTGGATTGTCAAAGCCGTACTGCAGAAAGAGTAGGTCTGTGGGTATCATTGAAATCATGTCATATTTGAACTGAGACGTTGTTCTGTATTTAGCTCTCAGTTTTTTGGCATCTTTTACCAACAGTCCTTGTTCCAGGTAACCTAAGGGAGGTAAAGCACAAAATAAGAGACCAGCCCACAACATAGCGTGAAGATTAAGCTAACATTTCTTTCATTGAACATTTCCAGAATTCGGACCTGTTCTTGATCTGACAAATGTGTCCATGCAGTAGATGATGTCTGAGGTATAGTCCAAGACTATCCAGAGTTTGGTGTACGAATATTGGAGCTCATTAAAGGAGGCCCTAGAGAAAGAGAGAGAAGCAAAAATCAGCAATCAATTTTTGTATCCAGGAAAATAACAGTAGTACTAATAACAAGACAGTACCTTGTTACAATCATGATCAGGTTATAAAACACGGGGCCTGCAATGACACTCAGCCATCTGTAGTACTGGTCTGCAGATGGATCCATAATCCAGATTTCTTTCCTGAAAACAATTTGGTACTTAATAATGGCAATATGAAAAACATTACAGAGAAAACAGATTTTTGTTTTGTTTTTTTCTTCTAAAATTCAAATTACAGGCTGGACCAGCATCGGCCTAACGCCGTACTCACGGAGGCTCCTCTTTCTTTTTATCGTCTTTCTTGTCATCTTTCTTCTCATCTTTCTTTTCGTCCTTCTTCTCGTCTTTCTTTTCGTCCTTCTTCTCCTCTTTCTTTTCGTCCTTCTTCTCGTCCTTGTTTTCTTCCGTCTTCTTGTCTCCGTCCTTGTCGTCTTTTTTCTCCTCCTTCTTCTCCTCTTTCTTGATCTCGTCTTTCTTGTCCTCTTTTTTGCTGGAGATCACAAGCTCAGTCTTAACGTGGCCAGACACGGACCCGGCGCAGGGGAGGGATGAGAAAGGCGCGAGACACTGATCTACACAGGGAGGCAACTTCGGGCAGACTGGCTCGGAGTGTGAGGTTTCTGTTGTCAGGTCCGATGTGGGTCACGCTTTCAGCCAGCAGGTGGCGCTGCGTGCTCAGAGTTCTAATGGAAGCAAATTTGTCTCCAATTTGCAAACCCACATCCACTTGCAACACAAAAAGTCAAGAAGTGAAGGGGAAGGTGTCGTTATCACCACAATTAGCATCGGTAGTTATTTTTATGATGCTTGTGAAAGGAACAGGAAGACGGGAAATACACTTCCTACGGGGTTTTTTTTTTTTTTTTTTTTGCTCTTGCTAATGGCTCGTTGGGTTAGTTACAAGAGGGGAGGCTGCAAATACAAACGGTGAATAAATTTATCATGTCTATATTTGCTTCAGAAATTGGGTGCACTTACTCATCTGTGTTGTTGCAGTTATTTGTGTTGTAGGTGGCGAGAGGCCACTTACTGGAAAGACTTGGGAAAAGAAAAACGGAGAGAAATGTCTTGAGATATATGCAAAAAATGCACATCATTTTATTCTGTATTAAAAACTGAATGTAATTAGTTTTCCGGTCTATTTTTGCTACACGTCCTGATTTGAAAAGCATCCTTCTGTCTACTGAGGCCAGCTGAACAGATGCTTTGGCAAGCTTAGTAATAACTGTGCAAAACCCAGTTTGTAGAATCTGATATTTGGTTGAAAATTTGTTTAATGTAGAGCCTTTTCAAAAGACACCGTACTGTAAACGGACGCCGCCGTCCAGTGACCGCAAACCAAAAGCACACTTACTCTTTCTTCCTGCGTGTTTCGCTGCGGTCGCTCTCCCCACTGGTTGCATCTTTAAGGGCCGGGCCTCTGATGCGCTCCAGCAAGGAGTCATTCCTCTCCTCTGTAGGGTTCACTCTGTGGGATTCCCAGTCCCGCAGCATGAGGAAGAGGTAAGACAGCCTAAAAGGTCAGCGGGAGGTCAAACGGCACCAAGTGACATCGCTCTAGGCCGGGGATGGATTATTCGTCATGTCGGCTTACAGGAAATACAAGTTGTGATGGAGGCAACTAATATAATGACTCAACAGAAAATGTAATGAATAATGATTCAGGGGGTAAAGTGACATGTCAGGCCTCCAGAGGGCCAATGGAAGTAAATGTACATAAACGTATCGATATCGCTGTGGATATCGATACGTTCCACTTGCTCAAAATGCCCGTTGACATCAGCTTACTGGTGTTTTCAGTTTCTCCAGTCTTTGTCCTTATGCACCCCAAACACAATTGAAATCTGAACTTTCTGATTAAATTTGGGTCAAGCCAAGGAAGGCATTGACGGTAAGGACAGCACATCCTCACTTTTACTTTCGCTTTTCACTTCCCGGCTGCACGTCTGCGCTTCCAGTAACCGTGTCTCCATTGACCGTACGACTACGCAATTTAACAGTTTGAAAATAAACTCACTTGATGGAAGCACAGGAGTAAAACGGCGATACAACGTCTTGGCGCTGGGATGAGGTGTTTTTTTTTTTGGCCTAATTGAAATTGGTTTCATTTTGCAAAACTGCAATGGAAATGCTTTTCTTCGCATCTGCTTGTGGACCACTGGTTTCTGGTGCATTCACCACAAGGAAGAAGACGACAGGAAGCAGTTGGACGATGGTGGCGCGACGTGTTTTTTGACGACTTATTGCGTGAACAGACTTATTCACGTCAAATTTAATGTAAACGCCTCGATTGTGAACTTGCTAGTTTTTGACATTAGCGGAGTATTGGCTATAGTTTGGCCACCACATTTTTTATTCTGCTAGAAGAGACAAACTAGGCTTTGCATCTGTACTTTCTGTCAGCAGTCCACAAGGCACAAATGAGTCGAAACCATTTCAACCTGCCTTTTTGGTGCAAACATCCCCATGGAGAGCAAACAAAGCAAACTCTACTTGCCAAGGAAAATCATCAGAAGACTTATTAGACGACGGCTTATCTCTGAAAACACCAGGAAGTCTTGGCCTACATCTCTGTTTTCTTGTCATCCATTCAATTGATCAGGAACCAATAAAACGCTGATCTGGACCCAAAGAGTCGGCAGGTGCAACACAGTTGAGTCCCTGGTGTTACAAATCTGTCAAACAAGTTTTTTTGTTCTTGCTCCACACCTACTGATTAGCACTCAGAATGTAAAAGCGCATCGACGTTCACCTGGCCAACGCCGCACCACCTCTGTGTGGGCTTCTACGAGGCCCCGAGGACAGGGCTCCCGCGGCGGCGTCTTGGCGAAGAGAGTGGGCCCTAGGAGACAGCAGGAAAGGTGTAAGACATTCACTTGATCCTGGAAATCTGAAAAAACTATGACAATACTCCAAGGAGCGCAAAGTGAGTTTGTTCCCTAATTCGGCCCTCAGACCTGCTGTCCCCGTTTTCCATGGCGTCGAGTTCATCGTCGGACGTGTTGGTGGACGGCCGAAGTCTTGCTGGGAACGAGCTTTCGCTGCACACTTCTGCCATCTTGTTGTAGCCGCCTGTGCGGAACAAACACACACACACACACACACACACACGCTCAGTCGGGCTGAAACACCGTTGTGAATAAATTAATTAATGGAAGGTGTAAATGTGTCGACTTAGGGCCCGACATCTGTGTGAGAGTGCCACCTAAAAATACCTCTTGTTCTGTGAACACCAAACAAGATCAGCGTTGTCTTTTGATGAACCCACCCAGCCGGCTTTTAAGAATAAGCCATGGCTTACAGGTAGAATGCAGCGGCTGTGTTCAGTGTTGTATACAGCAGGTTAAGTCTATTAGAACGCAGCTTAGGGAACAAGTAGACAGTAAGTGGCCGAGAGCCCCGGCAGCCTGCAGAGACGGCCTGATCTGGAGAGGAAAAAGCTCCGCTTTTTCACATGTTGCACGGAGGTTCACACCAGAATCTGAAAACGCGCGGCTTTCACCGGTCACGTTCTGCTTTGACCGAATCGTGTCGCCTTGTCCGTGCCCAGGCAACGGCTCGCTGATCTCTGGGCGAAACCAGTGGTTGTAACACGTGCACTCCTGTAGATTACAGCTAATGCCGAGGAGTTAAGCTACCCCCGGGTAAATTCAATCACACTGAGAGCATTGCCAGAAAGCTAAGTGTTTGAAGGGTGACGGGGGGTGAAATCGGCGGCGTCTGCACCGTGAGTATGAGCGGCATCGCTCATATCGCGCGCTGCATCGAGAGAGCAAAGGTCACTCGGTGTCACTTCGCTGTGATTTGGATTTTTTTTTCTTTCTTTTTAGACAAACGGTCAAAATCTCAAGTTTAGTGTCAGGAAATGACACAGCGCTGTCGCTTCCTGCATTGTGACGCAGATTCAAGGATTTCTTCAACCGAACTTTGAAGAATGAGGCAAAAACTAAAAAAAAAAAAAACAAAGAAAAAAAGCTTCGCTGTGCACAGATTTCTAATAATGACGGTAATGGTGGTGCTGGCATCACACTTTTCTAAGTTCTCAGGGACACGTTATGAATGAATGATATGAAATCAAACAATGTGAAAAAAGCAGAAGAACTCACAAAAAGGACATATTGTGCATTAAAAGCTATTTTGAACAGATGGCTTTGTTATTTCCATACATGATAAGCACATCTAAAGCAAGCAAGACTACTTTACTATTCTGCAGCCATACAAGGATTCAACACTGTCTTTTCTTATATATATGTATATGTATGTATTGACTATTTGTCCAAAAACTAAAATTCCAAACTCGAAAAAACTCAAATCTCAAAAGTGATCAAAGCAAAGTGAAATAAACTCAAATAGTCAATACAGTGCATCATGGGTTCTGGTTTACGCAGTCCAAAACAAAAGGGTCAAAACAGTCAAAATGCAGCTCTTTGTTTACTTTATTCAGTTTTTAGCTAAAACCAAGTTACAGGCTTCAGATAAACCTGCCCTGACTCCTGCACCTGTTCTCACTGATAAAACTGACTGACGACAGATAAAAAAACCATAAGACCACCACGTGACTCAAAACTTATCTAAACCCTCCATATTTATACTGTGAAACACACCCACTTCCCAAACGGAAATCAATCAACTAATTAAGTGAATTACTAACCAAAAAACTTTAGAAACAACGAAATAAAATAAACATTCTAATTATAAATCAACTAGAAAATAAGCAAATAAAAATAAACTAATTAATCTACATTCTAAACTTTAACTGAAAAAATTGAGAAATAGTTCCTACTATATATATATATATATATATATATATATATATATATATATATATATATATATATATATATATATATACGCAGGTGTCCTCTAGTACCCATTTTGTTCCTCTTTGACAATAAATCCAATTCTAACTCTAACCATTTATATTCCATATTACAGCTAAATAATCCCAATGAAGCTATAACTCACTTGTCTGATGATTCCTCAGGCTGACATTCTCAAACCGGCCCCAGTAACCACAATCCTCTCATTTCTTTGATGTAGTTCCATCTTCCCGAATGAAAAATTGGATTTAAAAAAAAAAAATTATTATTATTTTTTTTTGCTGGTGATTTGTTTGATCCGAGCGAGGCGTCCCAGCAGAGCAGTCCCCGGCGCGCAGTCACCACAAAAATAACTGAAGGCTGTCCATAATTAGATCCAGGAGCTCTGCAGCCTGCAGACTGAGCTCCCGGCTCCCAGGAACAGACAAGAAGGGGGAGGAGTCCTGGACCTGCCGTGACCACGGCCTTCTCTGACAACAGGTTGGCAAAAACAAACAAACAAACAAACATCTAGCTGCAAATGTTTCCCTGGTAAGATCAAATCCTGCAGCTGGATTTGAATCTTTTTGGGTTTTCTGAATCCGCATGATATAAGAAATTGAATTCAATCATTTTCACAATTCAAATAAAAATAAACACTTTATTGATCCAAAGGGGAATACCATTTTGCTGTAACTCAAATCACTCCAGATTCTTCAGAGTTAATGTAGACAGTAATGGCTGTGGGACAGAAAGGTCTTCCGTAGCAGTCTGTATCGCAGAGAATTTGAAGAAGCCTCTGACTGAAGACTGTTTTTCTGCGACTGTCTCATTATGTGTCATCATCTCCAGAGGTTCCACAGTCGTGGATCGTCGCTCCGCCGTAAAGCGTCTGTTTCAGTTTTACACTAACAGCCTCCAATAATATTTCGCTTTTTCTCTTATGACCCTCATTTATTTAGTCATATTCAGCCCCTCACTGAAATGTACTCAAAATGTTTTCACATTTCAAGTTTTGACTTTGACTGGACCACTCTTTGAAGACATCGACGTGCTGCGATGGCGGTTCTCCACCGACGGTTCCACTGTGACGCTTTGCAGCGTAGTTTGATTTTGGATCAGCCTAAATCTAAATCAAGTCCGTCATACATTTATATGCACCGTGTAAAGATTATGACGTAAACGACGAAGGTTCGGGGGGACCTTAATCCTCTCACACACCTTTTCAGCTCTTCCCACAAACTCGACATCAGGGTTTTGTGAAGACCACTCCTCAAATCCTGAGATGTATCGTGTGACGTGTAACGATATTTACGATACTTCTACAAGAAAACATCGCGGGTCTGTTTCTGGCGCCGTCGTGCCGTCCTTATGCCTGGTCGGCCCAGGCATAAGGTTAAAGAGAAATCCCTTGGCAATATACGGCGCTGCCAAGCTAATCCCAGATTAGACTTGAGTACCTATTTCAGCCAGCTAATGCCCCCTCGCTTAAAGCAATGGAACGTTTTGCCTTTTGTGTTCATATTACGTTGAGCGCGCCGTTGGGCAGGCGCTGCGTGCTCCCTGCTGTCGGTACTTTGATGTTTACGGCCGAGAAACTCCAATAGTGATCATCTTTATTTTGATTTGATCAACCCAAAAACAAAAATAAAACAACATAAATATGAAAAGTTTTCACATCTACGTTTATCACGGACTGAATGGAATGGGGCCTGTGACATCGTTCAGATGAATCCCTACTTCGAGTCGGTTTGAAATGAGTGGGATCTGTTTCAGTTTCAGTCAGGGAGTGGTGATCTCATGAGAGCCGTTTCCTGCTGAAAGTCAAGGAGCCCTCACGCCATCTTGAATCTGAGCTTTTCCAAAGTGCAGTTGTTTCTCTAGGAAGCTGCACTTTGCTATAAAACACCAAAATATGCGTGGAAAGAAGGTCAGCTGAGCTCACCGGGAAGGCCGGCTCTGACCCAGAGATGACCCAGCAGTGCAGTGCAGATGTTGGTAGACACAAGGACTCTGGGTGACTTCACACTGATGAACAGCGTTTCCCACTCCATGCATGAAGCTGTTGCTGAACTACGGAGCTCCTTCAGTGACAAACCGCTGCGTGCTAAGCGCACAAATGAGCAAAACAACCAAGCATGACATCACATAGTGTCGTTATTTAAAGCTAGGTGTTTAGTGAAAGAGATCTTTTGTCAGGCAGCTAGGCCTTATGAAAAAAAAGCTCTTGCGATGAAAAATGCTCACCACAAAGTTGGGCCTTAATTAAAGTATCACTCATGTGCTCGAACATCATCTAATCAAGACAAATTAGATCTGACCAAGTCAAACTTCTTGTCACTTTGTTGCGGTCTGAAACGAAACGCGATCGGGCTTCACTGGGATCTCCGACGTCATGGAAACAAGGGAAAAATTGTGCAACAAAGTCGTATAATATGAAGTACAGTTTCCTTACAAGGAGCAACCTTGGCTTGTCTCGTTTCGAAGAAGGAATCAAAGATTTTGGATGCCAGTTCTAATACATTTTTAGGGTCTATTGTTTATTCTTGCTTGTGAGATTCGTTTTTGATGAAGGCTGATGAAGAACCGCCGCTGTTGGATTTTGCGTCTTATGGTGTTGAACTTGTTCAGAATAGAAATATTTTTGTCCTCAGCATTTCAAAGTGCAATACGCCATATACAGAACTTCATATGAAACAAGCAGTAAATGGCGCACTTTGTCAAATGCCACCATCAAAATAATCAAAAATGTTGACCAATGTTCCGGTTTCAGCAGAGGACGTTAGCTCCCAAGTCTCTTATTTATGCCTGCGTTCATATTTTTGATTTCCAATCTGACAGCCTTTCATGCTAACAAGATGTGTGGAAATGACAACTTTCAAATTCCCTACTTAACAATATTCCACTTCTTCAGGTTGTTGAAAAGCATTACTATATTAGTCGAGGTTTCCCCCAGTGTATTATGAGCCTGGCGGGCTGCCAGGCTTTACTTGTGCCCCACCAGGCTAAGTATTGTTTACTTATATTTAAAAAAAAAATGTAATTGCCTTTTTTTAAGACATTATAGTTGGAGTTCAGGTATTAATTTTCCAGTCTTCCAATGATACATAATCATGAAGTGATATTTTCAATTTTCCTGTCAACTATATTAAAAAAACTTTTTAAAATATAACAAAAAAAACCCTCTACACCACGGTCATTCTGGGGATCAATTTTATCACGTTTTTTTTTCTTAAAACTGTTTCAAAGGTGAGTAAAACATCAAGTTTATAAGCCAAAAGGCTGGAATTACTCGGCCAGAGCTAAACACCTTTAAACACACTACTCCCTTGAATGAAATTAAGGAAGTAATTGGTTTCCTTGAAATGGCAAGCATCCAGAAGTTTGTGTGTGAAATGTTTTTCATAATAAAAGCAAAAAGAAGGTGATCAGAGGAACGGACCAACATGTGCTGAAAGGCTTCTCAGAGAGGGAGAAGTAAGAAGGGATGAAATGACCTGCCTCTAAGTCAGCATCTGCTCCCCAAAGCCACATATTCTCTACAGTCTTTCTCCAGACTTCAGAAAGGGCTTACAGGGCAGTAGCCCAGGGCACCAAGAATTGGGGGGCATCAAATATTTTGAATGTTTTCATAAAGAATGCAAGTTTTACATCGTAACTTTTTAAAAAATAAATAAATACTCATAGACTCATATATAATGTGTTGTTTTAATATTGTTACATTTTTATTAATGTGTACACTCCTAAAATATTTAATAATTCTGAACTTTCTGTACGACTTTTGTTGGACCAAACATGGAGCCATCTCATGTTTTGAACCTGCTGAAGTGTAGGCCTGCCTATTAATGTACTGTAATTTGAATATTTCTTTTCTTTCTTATGTAGGGCACCAAAACTGGCTCTAGCCCAGGCTAGAAAGGGCCCCTTTTCCTTCTAGGTCTGGCCCTTTCTACAGTGTCTGATTTGTAGTGCGAAGCAAAATTATCTTTGAATAACATGAAGTAAAAACGACATATTTGACAAATGTTCTGTGACAAATGTTCCTTAAATTAGACGGGTAGCCTTTTAAAGTCTGAGTCTTTGTCATTGTTCATCTCCTTATGGTGTACACAAGCATAGCAAAATTGGGAAACGGTTCTCTCCTCAGTGCACTTATATATATAACAACAATAATTAATAAACACGTTGTCCACAGACAAAACATGACATTTAATAGTGTCAAATATTAGCCTTTACCAGGGCAAAACGGGTAAATCTGTGAGGCAAACACATCAGTCCTGTCCTGCTCTTGTGTATTAAAGGTGGACTCCATGTTGCAGCTGGAACTTGTCTGCCCCCTATAGGACGCTCGCAGAATTACACCCTGCAGTTGTTTCACATCTTCAGCCGGATTCAGCCGTCACTCAAAACAGTGGAGGTAAATACAAAGAGTTATGTACGACACGCTGTGTAGATGGCCACATTGTAAAGCATATTTTATCCAAAGAGGTTTTCTTTTTCCTTTCAATTGTACGTTAGTGTCTATTAAAGCTTTAGCAACCCAAACCCCACATAAATCTTGTGTCAGCTTTTGTGATCTGTGTAATGCCAACAGACCTTATCTAGCTGGCTCAGTGGTGATTAATGCCCCCTCAAGATAACCAGTCCATCTTTGATAGTGTGGGGTAAAACATTCACTCTGAGGCCTTCACACGACGCACAAAACGTCCCCTGTGTCTGCTGGGTACCCAACGCTGACCAGGCTTGTAAACAGTGCAGTGCGCTCTATTTACACGTGAAACTCGCCCGAGAGAAAGACGGAGGGCGAGGAATGAGTTTTGAGACAAGACGGGTAAACATTGAGCGGAGGCAGAATGTGGACGTTCCTGTTTCCCACCTCGAGATTCTCTCCCGTGTCCATGGGAACAACGTTAGGCAGAAAACGGCTGTGGCAGTTTTCACTCTGAACTTCGACCCTGGCAGGGAACTCCTGCCCCCGAGCGTCTCTTTTGCCCTCAATAGATAAAATTTCCCTTTGTAAACTGTTTTTTTTATTTTTTTTTATTTGCCAGTTTATCTTTGCCAATAGTAAAATTAATTTTATGATGCGGAACAAAAAAAACAAAAACCTCTAGTGACTCATTTAAGCTGATCTAATTCATTGTCCTTTTTTTTTTGTCTTTGTTTACACACAAAGACAGACCTGAATGACCTCTTGTGACCTCACGTGTCACCATATCTCAAACATTTCCATGATGGGACAGAACAGAAAAAGTTGAAGGTGGAGCAAACAGGCCTGCACTGGAGTATTTGTTTGCGTTTGGCAGAGCGTCCAAGGGCTAGTTTATGTACAATGGATGTCGATAACATTGATTATTTCATTACCCATCAATCTGCAGAGGCAACACTCGTACTCG